AATAAAGGGTGACCCAAAACCAACTAATAAATAATTTTAGAAATTATATTGTATGTGAAGTTGCAATAGATAGTAAAGAAATGCATACATTAAGGATCAAGGTAAAGCTATTAATTACATTATGATCATCAGATACACTTCATACACAGAATACATTAATAAAATTGAATACGGAGCTATCTTTAAGAAGCATTGATGAAAGCTGGTTAAGATGTTTTGGACAGCATGAAGCAGCATTTCTGAACAGATCACCGATATAAACAATCAAGCAATATCTTTTAGCATTGATGGTATTAACAGGTCATCTCTGTATATCTTGTATTCCAATAATTAAAAAGCACTGAATTTTAGATTTGGAGAGCTGGATGATCATTAATATTGAAATTAACTGCTTAGTTCTTAATTATCTCCACCTGAGATAACAGGTTCTGTTACAAAAGAAGCAATATAGTACAATGATACAAAAGAAGCTACATTGATTCTTGCATAATGTCACAAAATTCATTGTTTGCTTTTTCCAGATTAGGAATAATGCTGTTTAAATACAGGGTCTGTGGTATTAAAATGCAAAGTCGCATATTTATGATTCTAAAACACAATGCTATCTAAGGACTAATAGTAATTTTAAAAATTTACTTAACAACATATTTGAATGCCTATCTCTATTAATATTACATTACTAACATATTAAATCTAATGAAATATAAAATTTTAAAGATTACTAGAGCCTGAATCATGCTCTGTATGGAGGTGGGTGTGTATATGTATATATATTGATTAATCCAGTGATTTTGTATAATCACCATTAAATTTAGTAAATATCATAAATTAATTAAATATTTATCAATATGTAATAAAAATTCATACTTTATCAAAATTCATTCAGTTTGCCCAGCTGCATGGCTTCTGTCATGACATGTCATTGAAAACAACAGTCTCTGTTATTGGCAGTTTTTGTTCTCTGTCAATGTCAAATGCACTACTTTGAGCATGGATTGATGATATAGGTAGGACCGTGATTTCAGTAGTATTTCTAATTTCATGCCGGCTGGATATTTTTTTCCTGTGCTCTTGTGTTTTATAAAATATCGAATAATGGCCGATAAGCTTGAGTGTTTTTAATTCCAAGCTAATTAATGTTTTGAAAACTAAGAAAGTAAACAGTAATTTTCTAATGAATGAAAGATAACTTGCTAATAAAAGTGAATAACAAAAGTAAAAATATTATGTAATGAAAGTAGACAATGCTGAAACATTTACATTTTCCGTAAGTGAACATAGCTCCAATGTTAGATTTTATGTGTGCTTTGAAGAACTTTTTACCATAATTCAGGAGGCACATTTATCAATAGGTCATGGTGGTAGAACCAACACGTTAAAAGAACTTCAGAACAAAAGTACAAAATATTACCACTGAAGTAGTGATGATTTGCTTAAATTTGTGTGAAAGTTGTTAAAAGAAATCACTGGTACCCAAGAAAGGACTAGTTCTTAGGCCAATTGTTTTTTCAAGAGATCAGCTCAAGACCCTAGGTAGAGCTAATTGACATGCAGTTGCAACCAGATAATGACTTCAAATTTATATTGTCCTATTAAGACCACTTAACGAAGTTCATACAGTCAAGTGCTCTGAAAAGCAAATGTGCAGAAGTTGCATGTCATTTAATTGATATTTTTACTATATTTGGAGCCTCATGGTATACTTCAAAGTGACAATAGTCATGAGTTCAGCAACCAAATCGTAGAAGAATCTTAAGCAATATGGCCAGATCTGAAAATTGTGCACAGAAAACTAGACACAGTCAGAATCAAGGCTCAGTCGAGCATGCAAACTAGGAAATTGAAAATATGCCAAATATGCCAAAATTGAAAATATGCCAAAAAAAAAGCAAAAAAACTAATAAATGGTCCGAAAGGTTAGTACAACTTACGAAAAATAGGGCATTTCATGAAGGCATCAGGTGTACTGCTTCTGAAGCAATGTTCAGGGCACCTGTAAAAGTAAGTTTAAAAATGTCCTAAATGACTCTATCAAATATCTTAGAACTGAAGATGATCTTCATACTTTAATTGAGACAATTAATAATACTTCTGATACCACCAATAGTGAAATAGAAGATGATTCTAATGCAGAAAATACATTCCATTGATAAATGACTCTCCACCTGCAATTAATTTTGATTAAGAAAAGGATGAAGCAGCAGTCCCCCTTTTTTTTTCAGATACATGTTTTAAACAGGCAAGAACAAGTAAGAAAACACAGAATGAGTGCTAAAGAAAGTTTAGAATCACAGGCAGAAAAGATATTGAAAGTTTCAAACCTTAAATTTTTTTCTGGTAATGTTGGTGACACAGCAAAAACTATGAGAATCAGATATTGACAGAGCAAGAAGTAATCCGTGAAATTTATTAGTGGTGATATTAGAAGTTCCAAATGGAGAGTTTTATATGTTAGGAACAGAACAAGGAAAACTTTCACAGTGGTATACTAGAAATCAGCTCACAATTCATGAAGAAAAATTTATTTTGCTTGATGATGTTCTAGATCTAGCAATATCAATTTGAGAATGTATTAGAAAATCATCTCTTTCTGGAGGTCAGGGATATAAATGATGTATTTGCAAGGCACAGAGCAAATCTCATGAACGCAAATGTAAAAAAATCTAATAAACTTTGTAATTCTAAATGTCATAACAGTCTAATGCATCTAAATACAGTAAACTTACAAGTAAATGCTTTTTTTCTCTAGAATATGGCTTTAGTTTGTTTTTTATATGGAACTGTTTTGTAATAATAAAATTGTTTTCTGTACTCAGGTCTCATTTCACAAGACATTAAAGTTACCTAGAAATGCTAGTTATTATTTAATTGTTCTATTTTGTTTAAAGTGAAGTATTTACTGAAATAACAAGATTGGCTTTATTTTATTTTTAACAGTTCTGATCATTTTGTATTTTTCAATACCTTTTACGACACGTATTATATAACTTATGCTATTATTTAATATATCTGTTTTAAGATATCTAATGAAAGTATATAAAAGCATCACTTTTATTTAATTTTTTAAACTGAAATATTATTGTGAGTTTTAATAGCCAGACGTTCTTCTAATTTTTAACAATGAATTTTTTAATGTTATTTGAAAATATTCATTTTTGGGAATATAGACTTCATTACTCCACAAAATAACTTAATTTATTACATTTCCCATTACAAGTCGGATATTATATAAATAAACTAGTAAATTTGTTTAACTATTCAATAATTTATCACACCAAGGTTAGTGGGGATTATGAATAATCACTGGCATTTATTACATTTTAATACTTACTTAATTATGAACAATATAGAGTTCAGAAAAACAAAGAGTTAATTGACTTTAAATCTGAATTCGATTTAAAACTTATCAAACCACTTTGGAACATAAGTCAATTTTAAATTAATAAAAATATGGAAAATTTTAAGAGAAAATGACAAAACTATCAAAATCAAAACTGACATTTGATTCATAATAACTGATTATCGCAGTAAAGGAAATTTACCTACTGAAGCACAAAATTCTAGAAAATTCATTAAATTTGCCATAGTTTATATCAACCGGGGAAATATAAGCTTTTACAAATAAGATGCAAAGAACCTATTCAATTAAATTTACAATATAGTAATTTTATTAATAGTAATATGATTATTTTTCTAAAGGGGGGGGAAGATCTTCAAACTAATCATTCATAAAAAGTACTACAATCCTTTCACCACCAAAGCTGTAAATTAATTTCATAATTTGAGGAATAAAATATAATCATTAATGAACAGAATATTATCTCACGAACTTAAAAATTTGTACATAAAGTTATAATTCATCCATGAAGTAACAACTTCTTGTGAAAAGTCTCCTAGGCTCTATCCCTATCTAATGCAGGAAATAATTTTTCAGACTTTGATAAATGTAGTCCACTGCATAAAAACATAAACATTTCTTCTTCCGTTAGGAAGCTTGAGGCAATAAATGTTTATATCTGGAACAGGTAAAATAAAACAGCAACGCCATCTAGTGATGGCCACATTTTTTTACCCCTTTTTCTACTGTGCAATTTCACCTCCATCTTTATACTCTGTGCTACAAACTTTTATTATTACAAAACTTAAACTATTGCAAAAATTACTATCAGTTTATAGTAATTTTGCAATACATTATTAAATAATGATTTGATAAAAGATTGATTTCCTTCATACATATAAAAATTAATAAGGATATGACAAATAATGCTTGCCAAACAGAAGAGAGAATCTAATGTTAAGCAAATTATCTCATCTTAAACTCTCTCTCCGCTAAATTTTAAAGCAATTAAGACTTCTTCAGTCTTTTTTTTTAATTATTTATAAATTATTTGTTTGAAAGCAAAATTTTTACATAAAATTTAGAGGATGTAGTTTTTATAAGAATGTTTAATTATTTATATATTAATACTTTATAATGTAACTTTTTATTACAATTACTGATAATTTCAAATGTATGAGATATTTTAAAACAAATGGACAAAATGGCAATCAAAATCTTTTCTGTTACAATAAATCATTTGTTTTCTAATCTTTTCAATTAAAAAAAAAAAAAAAAGAGAGAGAGAGCCGCCCCTCTTTTTGGGGGACTTTACAATGTAATCTTCCAGTAAATTCTTCTTAAATGTATGGGAAAGTCAGAAAGAAAGAATATTCCAACAGGCGGTATCATCAATCATTATTGTTTTAACTAAAAATCACAAACACAACATTTTCGGGGTCAGTTTGGTATACCAGGCGCATTTTAAGACTATGCATATTTCATTACAGATCGATGCAACTACAACTTGAATCTAAAGAGTTAGCATTGATAATAATAGTTTGCTATCCTTTCAATTAACTCACTAAGGTTCATATTAATTATATTTAACTCTCTCTAAGGCATTAGTAGTTTTAAAATTAAAAATTTTTGTTATATAAAATAATTTGCATGCGCGCTAAAATTTTTTTTTTTTTTTTTTTACAGAATTTAAGCTATTTATTAGATACTGTAAGAAATTTTAACTTGACTAAGGATTTATTTTTATTATTATCATTATTGATAATTTTTCGGGAAATAGAGGGAGAGAATGACAGCTTAAATCACTAAAATGAAGATTTTAAGACAATTTTGCCTCCATTTTGCTATTTCATTTTTCAACAAACACATACACATTATTACATTATAACAAACACATATATATTATTACATTATGACAAACAGATATACATATTAACACCATATGAAAAGTACTCATAATAGGTTTGGAGGCATTAATAAAATATTCTTCTGTTCAAAAAGTTCATAGAAAAGTCATGTTTACACATGTTAACATGTTAACAATCATGTTTACATGTTATGCAATGTTTGAATTTAGTTGTAAGAGACCTTTAGCATACTCTCTGTAGAAGAAAGTATGAAATATATTCATCCACAATCATAAAATAGTGAAAACAATTTAAAGTACTTTCAATCCTTATGTGAAATACTGCATTTTGTGCAAAGGGCATTGAATGAGAAGTCACAGTTTCTTTTGATTAGAAATAGTTTATTGTCATGTCACACTCACGTTATTTACCAGTCAACAACTAACTTTATGATTTTCTTTCATTGGCATGGTTTCTACAAGACTAAAAAAATTCAAACTATTCAAAACAATGAGACAGCCAGTCTGTAAAAGATACCAAAAGATGCATTCTCTCAATGCAGGCATACCAGGAACATTAGAACAAATGCATGCATTAAGGGATGTTATTTTGAAGGTAACTGGATAAAATTTTTTCAATTCAAATAGAGCTGTCCTGCGAACATTTTCTATGAACTGTTTGAATACAGAAGTATATGTATTACACCAAATGTGTGATATAAAAAAATGAACAAAATATTAGACTAGATAAGTAAAACAACTAGATACAGATTTTACAAACATGAAATACACAGATGAGAGAGAATTTTAAAATAATGTGCAACTGTTAATTTTAAATATATGTTAATTTTAAGTATTTTAAGTAAAAAAATATGTTTCAGTCAAAAAGCTTAGCAAGTGATCTTAATAAACTCCAATCCCCGGTTACCATAACTTTGCCATCCATAAATGCTTGCAATGGAGATATTTCACCATTTAAAAAATCTTGTAAATTATCTTCAGTTAACATAAGGGTAACATCACAGTCCAGTAATTTTTTATCTTCAAATACAGAAACAGCACCTTAAAATAAGAAAAGTTATTATGAACATCTAAACATAAAAAAATCAGTATGTTATGTGTTACTATGAAACATAATTACAACAGTTTGAAGGTAAGCATGTACGATGATCTAAGCATCTATACCATTAAAATCTGCATGAGTCTGTTTGTTTGTCTGTGGCATAATCTGCTTTGGAAGGGTGGACAGTTAGTTTTGAGAGAGGTACCACCCCTCCCCCTGGATTTCAAAAATTTGTGAGAAGCCATTTCGACCATTCTCATCTAGATATGACTTTACTTAGCCAAGATATTAATTAAAAACTCTGAAAACACTAATTTTTGCCTAGATTTTTCTGAGTGGCAACAGTCTCTCACCTTGGAGATAAAAATCTGTTTTATTTCGAAAAGCGTTGCCAGTGCTTTCAGATCATAGAGTTGTTAAAAAAAAATTTGTAAGTTTTAGAAAATATAATTATATTCTGATGTTATATTCTGATGTTGAAGAAAGCACGCGATTGCATGCATGCGACATCATTGTATGTCAAAAATGTTTTGTGAATGTAAGCATTTTAAACAAATAGCTGATGTTGGCAACAGTTCTGTTTCAGGTTAGGATAATTGATAGGATATGTTATTGCTATCTTAATTCTTTTATTGATGTTGAGAAAAAGTTGTTATATTATATTAAATTTAACTCATGACATCATACGTATACATATTAATTTAAAGTGTCAAAAGATTTTGTTTCCTGGTTTGGCAACAAAAAATTACTTATGAATTGTTTGTTGCTTGGAAAGACTGAACTAAATTCATTCAATTTGAAATACTTTTATACATTTTCTTTTTAGGTGTACATAAGCTTATATATTTTGCTTTGGCCACAGATGACTAGCAAAATACAATTTACAAAAACAAAACAAAAAATACACTTAGGAGCACCAGAATTTTAGAATTTAGGGAGGACCAGGGAAGTAGAATTTTAGAGTCTAAAAGATCACATTGGCCCTACACATGCGCCCTCTATTGGCAAATATCACCATTAATATCTAATTGAGTAGATCGGAAGGAACTGATTCACTGTGGCAAATAAAGACACAAGACTGGCAAGGTCTTAAAACAATTAATAGGAAGTGGCAGTAACAACGTTGCCATATTGGTGACCTGGATATGATTGACTGCTCTGCTGCTGCTCCTACACGGACAACCAAATATGTCACAGCGGTATCAATCACATACTCATGCAGCCATGCACAATCAACTGCATGACAGCAGGCACAAGTGTTCATGCTTCCCCCCCAACCTTGTGAACACATGCCAACAGACCCGGGTTTCTCAAATATGCCCATGGGCTCAAAACGGGCTTCTTCACACCACTATGCTGACTGTCTATCAAAATACTAAACCTATCGAAATAAGATGCTAAAAAGAAGACTTTGTAACGCTGTGCTTGCCACAGGGGAAAGATATTGTGAAAATTTTTCATACCACAGACAAGTACAGAACGGAGCAAGTTTGGCACCTGTACATCCTCATAGGGATATCATGCACTGCTGGGATTCCCCCCCCCTCATGGAATAATTCAATAACTCCAAAAGAGAATGCCCTACAGGGGTGCAATTCCATAGTCTCCTCCCCTCTTCAAACCACCAACCTCGAGAGATGGTTTTCGCTCACCTTGTATTTTGAATATTCCCTTTCTGCTCTATATACTTACAAGCATACACGTCTTCTTTGGGATTTGAACCCAGGCCCTTCGTTGTAGCAGCCACTGTCACTAACCACTATCTCATCTGGGTGGCTCAGGTCAGAGATAGTTGTTTTTGATATGATTGGTTTATGACCAAGCTACATAACTGAAAGTTTTAATTTCTATGTCCAATCTGAGCAGCAACAGCAGCTGCAAAGAACAGTGACCTTCAGAGGTACCCTCTACTGACAAAAATCAACATTAATATATAATTGAGTAGACTGAAAGTAAATGGTTCACAATACCAAATATATATGGCATCACAAGGCCAGTAAGGTTTTAAAAGAACTACCAGTTATAACAATAACAACGTCACCACAACCTTACTAGTTTAAAAAACAGTTTTTTTTTAAATTTCTTTAATGATGCAGATATCATATTAATGAATGGAAGTTTATAAAAACCAAGACTAAAGTAAGTAATTATCAGATGTAATTGTGATCCTATTTCAAAAATCATGAAAATAATTTCAAATAATTCAGAATATTATTGTGAAATATGCACATGCATACACAGCTATTTTCAAACAACTTCATGACTGTTGAAAATTACATTTTAATTTAATGTTTCACTACATCATTTCACAAACCTGCCTATAATTTTAATCTCACCATTTAAAAAAATAATTGTGAAATTTAGCTTGCATCCAGCACATTCCATAAAAGCATAAATCTGGTTAATCCTCAATAAAACAATCTCAAATACTTCTCAGTCATAGTTGTTGTTTACTTGATTTCATCAACCCTCTTTTAAGCACTTTTTTATCTTAATTTTGTTCATTTAAGTATCATTTTTAAAAAGATGAATTTTAATTAAAAAAAATGTTAAGTACATTAACAATATCTGAAAATAAAAAGTGATTTTTAAAACACAAAGCCAAACTGCAGAAATATGATGTAGCATACAATTTGCAGAATTTCAGGAATCACTTACTGCATTTTCAGGAATTATTTACTGTACTGAGTAAATATCATTCAAATTTCCTACTTTAGGTTCATCTCCATTATAATTTTAGGAAACAAAATTCAAATAAATGTATCTGAATTTTGCTTATTTTACTATTTAATATTTTATAAATAAAATAAAAAATCAAATAAATTTATCTTTTGTAAATCAAATAAATTTATCTTAATTTTGCTTATTTTATTACTTAATTTTCTTATAAAACAGCAGAAAGTAAAAACCCACATATTTTTAAATTCATATTTCCTGTCAGAAGGAAATTTAAGGCCTTATCATATTAATTTACTTATTACCTATATATACATGCATATACACTTTGGGGACTGAATGGCATAATATGGGTCTTCTGAATTTACACATTTTTTCCAATATTACTTCTATTAATAATGTTAAAAACTTAACCAAATCAACAAACTAATTTTAACTAATTAAATGAACCAACAGTCTGTAGTAACCTTGAGGAACTTCTCTCTCTCTTTACTAGCCGCATCCAAATCGCAGCAAAACATCACATCCCTAGAGGAAAGCACAAGGATGATTGGATTCCATTTTGGGAGGATTATAACATCGAGGCACTTATAAAGGAAAGAGGACCAAACCAAGTAAAAGAACTTGCAAAGCAACAACAGTGCAGAGATAAGACGTAAACTTATAAAAGTAAGTCAAAAGGTGGAAGAAGCCAGCTTCGGCTAGCAAACAAGAGAAGTAAACAGAGCTGTGCGAACGAAAACCTTGACCCAAGAAAAGGAACGTCCCAATATTGGAACTTGATTAAGGCTCTAAACAACTCAGGCAGTCCAGCAGCCAACATACAGGCAGAACCGTCAGTCGAATGCGATCTCCACAAACGGCTCAAATGCCAGAACAAACAAAGATATAGCAAACTTACTGCTAAGCATGCAAAACGAAAGGCAACTGACAGTAAAAAGTAAATAATAAAAAATACCTATCTGTTATTAAAAGAAGCAAGAAAACGACCGACAACAGCATCTTCACATCTGACTTTAATCCTGAGGAACTGGAATCTGCAATAAATAGCCTGGATCAAAAGAAATCCCCCGGACCAGACCTCATTTTCATGCTCACAAATGATCACACATTTTGGTGAAAATGCCAAAAGAGACTTGCTGAATATCTTTAATATCTCATGTGGCACTCTGGTAAGTGTGCTCCAAATCCTGGAATAACTCTGTAATTATTCCCATCCTAAAACCTAGAAAATCTGCAAGTAACTGCACTAATTACAGACCTATCTCGCTCACCTGCATTCTGTGAAAACTTATGGAGTGTATTATTCACTCTAGGCTGATGAATTGGATCACAGAGAACAACATTTTGTACTCATATCAGACTGCATATAGAGCCAATCACAGCACCGTCGGTTAGCTTTTCTACCTTTGCCAATCGATTATTGACGGCTTTCAAAACAAACCCCATAAGAAAACCACCATGATTCTTCTTGATCTTTCTGCTGCATTCGACAGAGTCTAGAAGCAGAAACTGATCAACCTTTTACACGATACAGGCATTACATCTAATGCTCTAATCTGGATTAATGATTTTCTAAGAAAAAGAAGCTTTAAAGTCAAGGTTAATGGCAGTTTCTCCACCACTCACCATACTCGGGTGGGAGTTCCTCAGGGCTCCGTACTTAGCCCTCTTCTTTTCTTTCTATACATGAATACGATTGACCCCCACATCAGTAAAAAAATCAAAGTTGCCTGTTATACCGATGATGTTGCAGTCTGGCACACCCACTCAAACTCGAAGTCTCACAAAAGGCTCTAAATATCTGTATGAAAGGCATTGAAACCTGGTCAAAAGATCTTAAAATTAATCTGGATAAAACAAACTTTTGTGTCTTCTCAACATATAGAAAAAATAGAAGCTCGTTTCATTATAAAGCTATTAGGTTCTGAAATCAAACAAACTTCTAACCTCAAGTATCTTGGACTGACTCTAGATGCAGAGTTGAGATTCTCTAAACACCTTGAACATGTTTCAATAAAGGTACTGAAAAAGCTACACATCCTTAAAAGACTTTGTGGTGCCTCTTGGGGATCAAGACCAAAAACTCTCAAGAATATGTACACTTCCATCGTCAGGCCTGTTCTCGAATACACAGCACCCATATGGGCATCGGCAAGGCCTACTGTAAAAGGAAAGATCGACGCTGTTCAATATAGGGCCTCTAAAATCATCACTGGAGCTGTTTCACCAATGAATAACATCAAAATTGAAAAGGAATGCGGCCTCGCCCCCTTGGAGAGCAGAAGAAAATTAATAACAATTAAATTTACCAACAAAATACAAACCCTTGCTGAACATCATATCTTAAGTAGAACCTTCAGGGCATAAAGTGACAATTGCAGGCTTAAGAGATCTTCAACCCTCCAACATGACCAAGATATCAGAAATGACACTAACCTCAAATACAAGACTCTCAAAATTTCCAAAGAGCCTTACAACATTCTCCCCCAAACAAAAATTTACTTAAATCTCTTATAGCCTTGTACCAAGAAAGATCCTACTGCAATAATCAAAGAAAATGGTGACCATACCATTGAGGAACTCACGACCTTAACTCAAGATCTGACGAACGCCTACTCAGACGGCTCTTCCGACTCCAATCTGAACAGAGTAGGAGCGGGAGTCTTTTTCATCGGACCAGACGAAGTGCAGAAATGCCACAGTATTTCTGTTGGGAAAATCGCCTCCAACTATACATGCGAGCTCGTCGCCATCAAAAGTGCTCTGGAGATTTATCTCTCTAAAGAAGACCACAGTTCCAAGGGCATCATCATCTTCTCTGACTGCAGATCAGCATTGCAAGCGATCCAGAAGGGCAAATGTCAACTCAGTCATCAGATCATTGAGCTCACAAACAAAATCATTGCTGCCCAAAAATCCTGCATCTTACAATGGATACCGGCTCATGTAAATATTTTTGGTAATGAGAAGGCCGATGAGCTTGCAAAGGCATCCCCTGATTCTCCTCAGCCATCCAACTGCCTAACCCTCGTTGATGCCAATGCAGTTGCCAGCCAAAGACTAATCAGTCAAGTTAAAGGAAACTCCATCCCGGAATTAAATTGTGACAGAGCCATATCGACTATCATAACCAGACTTAGGACAAATCACTTAAAAGGGATGAGGATTTCTGCAGACGGACAGCATAGTTACACCAACATTTATCCTCATTGCCCAGATGACATCCCACTGTCTCGCCATCACATCTTCAGCTGCCCAGCAATCCAGGCCAGACTCTTTAACATCAGCATTGAAGACCCAGTGGACCTACTTTATACTGATAGAGATGCCGAGGTTGCAAAAGCTGTCTTTGACAGCTTCGAAGCTATATAATTGCACTTTGTCATAGACATGACATCATCATCATCAACTAATTAAATTTGACCAAATACATTGTTTTAACTACTTAATTGTATTTTAATTATGAAGATGACAAACTCATAAATAGAAAGAAAATTAAAAAGGAAAAGCAAGCATCCTGTGAAGCTTACAGAACTACAAACATATTCCTTCTGAAATAAATGCAGAACTTTAAATATAAACCCAACAATTTTTTAAATTACAAATAAGTGATTATTAAGTATCTATTACATATAACAATAAAAGTGATGGCAACATTGCAATAGGACAAAAATATTACATAATAGTAGTAGCATTTTTGCCTTTAAAAAGCAGTTTTACACCAAATGAAAATTTTTCAAACTATATAAACCCAATACAAGCAATGAATAGACTATATATTTAAATTTTCATATGCTGTTAAGTTTAAGAGAGGAATCAAATAACCACCATATAAATAGGTCTAACTTAGTACAGATTCTCCAAATACCAAAGCCCAATATTTCTATTTTGCCTGAAAATAAGGTACCTACTATAACCATTGTCATTTAGTGCTGTTAAATGAATTATCATTGCATATCATTATATAAAAAAAATATCTCACCATTTTCAAATTTGCAAAATACGGTACTAGTTGTCTGGCCAACAATGTCAAGTCTAAAAGTTGCTTTTAAATCCTTCAACAATCCTTTGTTCAAAGCTATATCTGCTAGTTTTTTTATAGTAGCCACATGATCCTGATGCTGACTTACACTACCTGATGGCACTGCTTTCATTTCATTTTCAGCATTCATTTTATTATCTATAAACAGTAAAAATGAAATAAAAATCATAATTCTCAACAATATTGCATATTTAACAGATATTTAATAATAAAAAGTGTACAAGAAAAGGAAAATGATAATAAAAATCTTAAATAATTTTAAGCAAACTGTTCTTAAAATAAACAGTAAATGTCAGTAAAATTTTACAAATTTACTAGCTTTATAGAATAAAACTGAGAGTTCTTTTCTGCAATGAATTTAACGTGGAATGGCATAAGCAGTATTCAATGATTTTAGCTACTCTGCAACTAAGCGGAAAGGGCAGGTCCTCATAATACATGGAATCTCTAATGTTAATCTCTAATGAGATCCCTTGTCATCCTAGGTTTTTTTTTTTTTTTTTTATCTATGTTTTGGAAATCTGAAGATATTTATTGTTTGATTTCCAATCTTGGCTTGTCTAGCTACATTTTAGAACATGTGACTGATTCCTAGAATACTTCTGAACACAGGTGAAAAAATAAAGGTAAGATAGTAGTGTGGAGGTTACTAGATTCTTGGATTTCTATAATAAATTATGGAAATTTCTGCAATAAATGTTTATACCACAGTTATAACCAGTATTACATTCTAACTTACAGCAGAACTCCTACAGACTCTTATAGTAATCAAAATACAAAATTTGGAAGGAAAAGATTTAGGAGCAAAAATAAATAAATAAATCATTAAACCTAATCAGTATACTTTCTCTGTCAATTTGTAGCATTATCAATTCAACTAAAATTATTCAAATCTAACATTTATATCTAATTTTGCACAGAACTCGGCATTCTGTATCTCCTGACTGCCTTAATCTGCGTAGTTTCATTACCCACAAAAAATGGCAAAAGCCTAATCTCCAAGAATAACAAGAGATTATAATAGGGCATTTCTTTTAAAAATCTCTCTGAGTAAATGACTGATTTTGTCTAGTTTTGACATTCATTATAGCAACTTGGTACATAATACCTCATTATTTAAAATATTTTGGTTTTCTGTGTTCCCCCCCCCTAATAATTTAAATAACATCCTAATTAATGTCAGGTTATAGCAGTATCGAATAAAATAACTAACTGCATAAATCTAGCTAGCAAATGCTGTTTAAATACAGCTCTTTATGAGCAGATCCAACAAGTTCTGCGGGTTAGAGAGTTAAATTCTATTAATTTTATTAGAAGTTGTATGTGCTGTTCATACAATATTTTAACCCCTACGCACCAAATGTCATGTATACGTGCCAGCAACGAACACACTTATCTACCGGCCGACACGCAGGCGTGCCAGAGCGTTGTTGCATTCTCTACCGACTATCACGTATTTGTGCCAGTACCTTGGAACGTTTTTCAAACTATAATTTCTGCCACAAGATGGCACTGTATGTCCATATGGTTTCTGTATTAGACCTTCTACTTGAAATGAGAGAAGCATGACTCACATACACGTGTTTTTGATTATATAAACAAACGGGGAACTAAATGTTTACAGTTCAGTTTTTGGAAAATAATTAGATCTTGTTAGACGTGAATTCTTTCTGTTTTTACCGTTTCAATGTCGAAGCGTTGAAAATGTTTAACAGAGCATGAAATAGCAGAAATGATGCAAAATATTTCAGATATTGATTCTGAAATTCTGATATTCTGTTTGATTCTGAAAGATTAACTGAAAGACATTTCAAAACTTTGTTCAGAAGAGACTGATAAGAAAATGAGACGATGATGCTTCGTTTGTTCACATCCCGGAAAAATCCTCCAAAACGGCAAATGATTTATTACGAGTTCAAGAATTTACGTAGGACTGTGTGTAGATCCATGTTTTAAATTTTCATACGAAGAAGAGAATTTTAAGTAATATATTTAGTTTCAGATTATAATGTTAAAGTCATAAAATGGTGAGTAATTAAAATAAAATGTGTAAAATATGCATTTAAACAAGACATAAGGTAATTAAAGTATATATATAAAATATCTATAAAGCATAAGCCGTTTAAATACTCTATAGAGCATTATTAAACAATGCGTTGATACTTCGGAAATTTCATGGATTTAGGCTTAGTAGCAAAAAAGCCCCCGGCTCTGGAGAGACGCTCACGGAAGACACTGCCGGCCTACGTGATAAGCGCGCGTTTTCGCTACCCGGCTCGAAGGGGTTAATTCTACACAATGATGATACTAAAAGCAACTAATTCTTCAATACTATAAAATGTAATTTAAACAAAGCGCTAAACTAAAATCTAATAAAACATCACACAGATACACAATTAACAGAATGGTAAAAAGTATCAAAAACTAAAAATTACCTCAGTAATCAGAAAAGGAAATAAAATACAAAATGAATAAATAAATATAAATACACAAACTGAAATAAAAGAATAAATTTTGATATTCAAACTCTAGGTCTGGCCTTAAAATCTATTAAATGATATTTTCAAAATATTTCATGAAAATATTTCTAAAAATATTTAGTGGCATTGCTAACAAAAGGAAAGCTTTTATTTGATGATTTAAAAACCAGAAATTTAAATTTTACCATGCATCTGAAAAATTTCATTTAAATAAAATTGCTTAATTTAATATAAATATAGAATTACTTTAACTGACAGTAAGATCAAAAACCTTTGATATCATTCAGAGACGTTAAAAAATTCTATCCTGATGACTCAAAACATTCAGTGGTTCTTTTACAAGTACTCTTTTTATGACTGACAGGTAAAAATGCTGCACCACCATTGAATATAGTCTCAAAAATATAACTTCATTTCATCATGTTTTGTATCAGGAGATATAATGCTTTTTGTTGAAAAAATTATAAAGTTTATTCTTTCATAACAGACAAGTCTCATATATTCATCATAAATGGAATCTGATAAAATAAGCATTGGTTGAGAAAATTCTACACAAAAAAATGTCAGGAAATTGTTAAAATACCAATGATGCTAACTGAAACTGTATTTGGCAATTTACCAATTGTCACTGATTTTAAATTTATATGGAAAATATAAATAATGATTTATAATTTTAATTTATATTAAATTATGCATTAAAATTTAAAATTCACATGCTGAAAACTACATTAATATACTCAGTTCTGTCACTGCATTTTCAAGTGGCCTGCTAACCTCATGAGCTGGAACTTAAATTCTGGTGAAAGCTCTGAAAGAGCTGGATATGCAAACAAGGAATTTAATCTACAATGTTTAATCTGATATTTGTATTCCATATTCCAATCAATAATACTCAAGATTTCATTCAGATTAAGTTTATTAAAATATTTAATTTAACCTGTAACATTTGGCCCAAATGGGAAAACTGCAGCAGCATGCTGGGTTGACTGCCCAGTGGCAGCCTTTAGAGCAGTCATTATTGTTCCTATCGCATCAACAGGATCAGCTGTTTTCAAAATCTTCACTGAATGCCTATTCAAAAGCACAAATAAAGTGATAAAACATCATAAAGATATCTGTACTACTATAAACATATTAAATTCAAGATAATCATATGTAATTGGAATATATTTATTAATGCAAAATAACAAGAGCAAAGAATACTGATGTAACTTACAAGTAAACATTTATTACTTCTAAACCCCAATTAATGACAGAACGATTTAATTCATCCTAAAAAATAAACAAAATTACTTTAAAACTTTTTACATTTAAAAAGACTTGAAAAAAGTAAATTAAAATAATAAACAGAAATTAATAAAATTAAAACAAAAATAGAAAAATCAACAATGCAGGAGAAAATTTTTAATTTTACAAAGAATGCTGGAAAGCAGATATTATGTTCGATTTTAGTAAATCAGAAATATCTCTACATATTTACACAGGTCACAAATAGCAAATATTGTTCACCCAGAAATATTAATTTTCTCATTCTTTTTTAATGTCCCATAATAATTTATTTAGGAAAATCTATTTTTACTTGCTATAGGCTTTAAAAGATATTTTGTATTCCTTTGACATACAGTAGTAAGATATGGTCCTAAAGATTAAAATGAAAATATACAATGAAATTTAGAGAACTAGAAAAAATTTTATAACCATTTATATTTTTACAGAGTTCATCAAAACTGTAGTTACTATGATAACTTGAAAATAGAATCATTTATATAATTGACATTTAATTTAAAATGAAGAAATCATAACTGAACAAATGTTATACAGTAGCCTTGCTGGTGGACCATATTATGAATCAGCTTAGCAAGAAGTGATCCTCTAAAACAAGTATTTAGGGGGGGGGGCAAATAAAAGATTGAGGTCATAATAAGCCCTTCTAACATTACTGAAAAATTTAATTTAGTACAGAATAATGTGCTAATTGGTCCATCCACACAATGAACTCCCCTTAAAGCCATTGTCCTGTTAGTTAGATTTAATATCAGGTTATCTTTTCATAATAAAAATTTTTCTAATATACTTTTATTTATCTCTGTTCATAAGGGCAAAAAGAGGTTCTCATTTATCAGATGTTTTATCTGCATATTTGTTTCAAGAAATGGCATTCTAAACACATACAATATCTATTATAACAGTTTCTGTTGTGGATGTTTTCAAAATGACAAATGGATTCATTATCTCTATCATCAAATGCCAAGAGTGTCGGAATAGCGATAAGGTGCATGCCTTGCACCCACAATGCTGCTGATAAATATAGCAACCTTAAGGAGACGTCTTTGGAGAAGCAGAGGGAGAACAGAGACTGGCTGCCAGGAGGTAGTATGCATATCTGAAATCTTGAAATAAAGATAAATTTTTATTCTGTATTAAGTATGATTAAAGTTCTTGATGAATGCAAAAAGATTATTTAATGTGATATGAACAACAAAGATCAGCCAGATACCACAGTAGTTTCCACAAGAGTCATCAGATAAACAGCATCTGTGCTTGCAAAAAAAGAGTAGGAATTTTCTATTCAGTTCAGTCACATACTACCAAGCTTGAGTTACTGGAGAATTTATTGCTTGCTGTGCATGATTCCCCTTAAAAAACACTTTAAAGTACAAAGCTTTTGGTAATTACTGCAAGAAAGAATCACAGTTAATCACTGTGCTTCTTAATTAATTTTTCTCCTCTTTTGAATTCATCCATTTAAGATAACAAAATAGGTTATTACATGCAACAAAAAAAAAGTGTTTTGTTACATGTTTATAATTATGATGCAGATTCAAGTTTATATTTTTTCTTTTTTAATTATTTTTTAATTCTATTATAATTTCTTTTTTATTTTTCTAATTTACTGATGTGAAAGCAGACCTGATTAAAAAGTACACAAAAATACATACATACACTGTCACAAAAAAATATATGCAAACAGAAGAAATTAAGGTACAATCACGAAACTATGCAGAAATGTAAACTGGTAGGAGACATGCAAATGATTTAAATTTTGACACCAATAAGACAAGGGTAAGCACACTATGTGCATATGAGATGCGCAGCTGGGAAAGTTTAAAAGTATGTTTGCTTGAGCCATAGATTCAAACGAATCCCTCAACTTAGATGGACGGTATTGTGACTAGAGATGCATCTGAGATTGAACCGGCAGCAGTATGAAAAACTGTCGAACTTTGAGAAGAGGCCTATAGTAGGCCTCAGAGAAGAAGGTTGGTTGAACAGGTGTATCGGCGCTTGTCAGAGTGATATGGTAGTTGCTCGGCATTGGCGAGAATGAATCATGGAAAAGAAAGTCAACCATCGCAAAGGGTAATACAGTCAAAAGTCGTTAATTCGAACACCCATAATCCGGAATGATCTATAATCCGGACCTCAAAGCTAAAATCTATCTGCGCACGCGGAGTTGATGCATGCGCATAGGCGTTTACGTGTGCGCACAAGGCCTTTACGACTGCGTATATGCGTCTGCACAAGCGCAGAATACGTTTTCGCGTGCGCGTTTAATGTATAACGGACGGTATAAGCTAAAATTATCTAATTATCTATTTCAGTTAATGTTGATGATTGCGTTGTTCCTTAATCTTCAAATTGGCTCCGGCTTATTATTTTTTGCAGACTGTTAGAGCAATTTTATAAAAGTAACCTTGAACTTTCGATTATGCCAAATAGAATTTCTGATGCTGGAGCTCCCAAGGATCTAGAAAACGAAAGTATTTTCGATGTCCATCAAACAAAAGGGAATTGCTACAAAAAATGGATAAAGGCATATCCTTTGTTTATCTAACCGTTCCGAAATCGGTTTATCAAATTCACGCTGCTCTGCGCGCGGGGGGGCGGCACTATCCTCATCTTCAGGGCAGATGTTTTTATTTTATTCGGCTTATATTCCTTACTAAATGTAGTATTCATCTCGATGTACTCCGTCTTTGATATGTTTAAATCAAATTCCTCGTCATTATAAATATCACATACAAATCAAATAGTTTTCTGGTCGCAATTTTCTAATTTCCGGCTATGCGTATGTATGCTTTACACATGCGCGGTTGAAGAAATGTTTAATAAGTAAACAAATAAATATTAAGCTTCTTTTTGTAAATTTTGAACCCTTTAGATCATAATTTCTCATTATTTTATAAATTACGGTTTCATATTTTTAATTTTATAATTTCTGCATGCCATCTTACTAGATTTAAACTGATGATCTATAATCCAGAAAAATCGATAATCCGGAATCGCCGAAGTCCCAACGAGTCTGGATTAAAGACTTTTGACTGTAGTAGCACAGTAAGCAACAGCATAGTAAGCCGAATTACATCATTCTAGATATCTGTAAAATCACTTTCTTTGCCCACATCTACTACATTCTTCATTGTGGGACACCTTTTCCATTCACACACTTATATATTTTAAAAGTACCACTTACATTGTACATACATAGTCAATATTTCGTTTTTCCTTTTACAATATCCTGAAGCATTGTAAAAGTTTCATAAATGCCTTTCCTGTATTTGGGGGGGGGGGTTAGCATTCTGATGGAACTGTATAACTATAAAATAAAATATGAGTCATAATTAATTGCTAAACTAAATAAAATAGTTGGTAAAGTTTTGTAGCATTATTGCTATAATCTGAAAGAAATGCTTTTGTCGAGGACTCACTTTTCAAAATTGACTACACAGAAGACATCATGAATACCTACTTGTACGCAAGTAATTTATTTAAATACTATGCCTAAAAAACTCTAAATGGTAAATATTTTCTACTTTTGAAGTATCTGTCTCTTTAACATAAAATTCAGTATTTTTCCACTAATGAGAAAATCTTTTGAGTTCAGTAACATTGTCCAAAAGCATGAAAATCTTTCCTCAAAAAATAAGGTACAATCCCATTATCCACCCAAAATATCACTGACAAAGTGCTATGTCACTGAACTAGGCAACTGAGAACTTTACAAAAATGTATCTGGAAACCCACTAATGCATGTGCATTACACACTGGCATAATGTGTGCAGTTTTGAAATTAGGGGGTTATATTTGTGGTTTCTGCTTGTGATTAGTGTGTTAATTTTTTTTCTCACTGTAATGCAACTCTGGAGTTTGCTTGCCAATGAAAAAGAAAGTGCTGCACTTTTTCAGAAATATGGCATTTTGCCTAGCATTAATAAAGGGATGTGCAGTGCATGAAGTTCTATCTTACAAACAATCAAATTATTCAAGTTATCTTGGGGCTTTTGGAGAAAATGTCAAGAAGGAAAGCAAAAAGACTGTTTTGAAGACATTTAAAGCAGACAACTGAAAAGAATCCACTAGTTATAAAATGTAAATATTCTCCAGACTGATTTTCATTATTGTCATTAAAAGTAATAAAATGATGCAATTGGCTAGCTTTTATTTACCTCTGATGTTACATTATTATAGAAATCTTGTGGCTCTAAAGTTGTTTATGTACTGTTCTTTGGTGATTAAAATAACAGTTTTCTCCAAGTAAATGCAATTCTGTTATTATTATTCTGTTAAAAACATACTCTTGTTCACATAGGTACACATAGGTAGATGACAGGAAAAATGATTTATTATGCATGTTGCATTTTTAATTTAGTTAATTTGTTGCTGTTTTATGCAATTTTCCGTGTTTCGTTATGGATGGTTCTTGCATTTTTAATTTTGTTAACTTTATGCTGTTTTAAGTAATTTTCAGTGGCCCCATTTTTTTTTTAAAACGGCTTACTGTTTTTTACATGTTAGGTTGGCAAAAATTTAGTCGCCAATGACTGGTGCCTTTGCTGGAGATCTGAGCAGGTAATACAATAATACCAAATAAAATTAATATTTCCTATAAAAATAAAATCCACAGGTCACAACCCACTTACTTTCACAGAATGAGTTTCATGTGACATTTTATAAATTACAATTAGAAACCTAATTTGTGTCAATTCACAGCTTTCTAAGTCATTTTCTGCATGATTCTAATATGAAATTAGTGAATTAAGTAATTTTCAAGCACTAAGCAAATTTTGCATTTCTTAAGTGCTTCCCCCCCCCCATTTTTGTTGTTTAAAATAGGCACTGTCAACAACCACAGTTTAAGTTCTATTCCTTCAGCTGTTTTCAGGGTCTCTATGCACAGGATGTCTTCATGCAACTGCTTCTCCAAGGTAGTCCCAGAAGTTCTCTATCAGGGGAGTTAAGATCAGATTTTGCTGGTATTTATTTATGTCTTCACTTTCAAGTATTTGCAGAATTTGCTTAATGTCTTCTTCACTTTCAAGGAATTTGTCAATAAGATTTGCTCAACATGGAAGAGCAATAAAATATAAAAATATAAAAAGTCAGATCCATATGAACCTCTGAAAAGTCTTACATAAGGTTCTAAGACCTCATTCCAATATCTCTGAGTGGTCACAGATCAGCTATTGAAAATGTATAGGAGTGAACATCCATTGATTATTATTATTCCCCTTGCCCATCACATCTGCATTACCCAAATAGTCATGTTTCCATTATGTTTGAAGGAAGATTTTGGGTTCTGATACCCTGCAGATGCAAATACACTTAGAATCAGGTGTTAAATTAAACCTTGATTTATCAATAAAGAGAATATTGAACCACTGATGTTTATTTCAGTTCTGATGTTCTTGGCAACAATTAAAATGATTGTTCGTTTGTTGTGGAAACTGTGAAACACATAGCTGGTATTCTTTCCTAAATGTCTTTTTTATTAAGCCTTTTTTACACAGTTTTCCTTGATACAATGGTTTTAGTGCTGAATGCAAACTTTGAACTTAACAGCTGAGAAGGAGACTTTCTGTTATAATACAGGCAGTTATTGCTAGATATTGATTTTGAGAAGTTATTGCTATTTATTGATGACCCTGTCTAAGATTCCTATCAAGAATTACAGAGTTCTGAAACTGTTTCTCATCTTAAAAACTAACACATCTCACTTCTTCCATGATTGTGCTTCCAGTCTCACTGCTGTCGTGCCTTGCTTCTAAATGGTGGATGGTTCATCACCTCACAGATTCGTCCAAATGGTATTTTAAGGCCATAACAAAGCATTTTAAGTCTTTATACAGTGTATTGCAGAAATTCACTCAAATATATTCAGTTTTTGCAAAGTGCACTGATTCACTGTCAGATGAAATAATATCTCCTTGATTTGCATATGAGAAACTATTTGATAATTTTTGAATGGATAATACCTAAGTAGGTTTACCTTTTACACAATCTCTGTAAAAATGGATTACATTGATTAAATATTTCATGGAATATCATCATTTTGGGGTTTGTAAAGATAAATTTGGACATGAGTATTGAATAAATACAAAAATTAAAGACAAATACAAAATATAATTCATCAGATTAATTTTGTTTCATACAGGAGAAATAAAACTGTCAATCTGATTTTAATATAGGCAAAAGCATTTTCATTTTTTCATGCAATGGTTGCCACATGAATTGAATGTGATAGCAATCTAGATTATGCTCTTTTATGATTTTGCACATGGCATCCCATATCAGAATTAATAATGCTGTAGCTTTAGTTAGCCTACAGTGTTCATATCCAGCTACTGCCAATTCATCTGCTTAAGCAATTGAACATCTAGCTCGGAAAACTCGTGAATTCACATTCATTCTTCTCACTCATTCGCTGCAATGTCACTGCACAGCTATTCATGATACAATAGAAAAAGGGTACCTCATTTGGTGCTTTGGCATGCATTTGACAAATGGTGCCCTGTTAACTGAAAAGTACCCTTTTCTAATACTTTGACTTCCTGAATGTCAATAATCATATTTTCCAACATGCATAATTCAGAAAAATTAATGTTATAAACTGATACTGTTATCATCCATGTTAAAGTAAATAAAAATTTCATCATTGGCATCTGGAACAAGTTATTACTATTACATTCATTTATATATAATTCAATATGATTTTAAAAAATACTGAATACTTTAAATCTAAAGAATTCACAGCTATAAATTTAATATAAGAGAGAGCTTAAAACTATAAACAATATTAACATATCACTTTGAAATATGCATACCATACATAAAATAGCATAATGCATAGATCTGAATCACCAATTTGTAAAATTTTAATTTTTACTTTTATGTTGCAGTTGACGAGTTCTCGGCTGCTTTCTAAATCTTCCTGGTCTTTTTCTGAAATGATATTTTTTAAACAGAATAATCCAAGATCCTTTAGAGTGCTTTCTTGTTTGTGCAGTTTCAAAACATAACTGATTACATCAGACACACGATATTCAATATCAGTTTTTGCTTCAATTATACCACCATCAGCTGTTAATAGCTGAAAATATAAAGATTATCAAAATATATATACATTATGATGCAATTTAAGGCAGCAAATAATTGAATTCTTAGCAAAACTTTATTAAAGTATTGACTTTTTAAACTTTCCATCAAAATGTCGTACATGTATTAAAAAAACTGAATGCTTTTGCGAATGTTGTTTAAATCTGAAGCATGATTAAACTGAAACTTTGCATGTAGTTTTATCAGTTTTTGTATTTTTCATTGTTTTAAACTACTTAAATTGCTAGTCTTGTAAATAAAAAAAATGATTGATGAAATATTTAAATTTTTTTATTTGTTAGTATGCAATATATACGCCATCATTTTTGATTAATTTATTATTTAAAGTTGCTGCATATATTTTCCTAGAGAAGACTGATGCATGTTAAAGCAGAAAAGACACATACTAAATAAATCTGAAAAATGTTTACTTAAAATAAAACCTATTAAACAGTACTTAAATACAAAAACAATGTTATTAAATATCTTAATAACATTTTAAAGATATTAATTAGCTCTAAATCCCAGATGAGTTATGGACAAACCCATAATCATTTGGCAGTCTCATCATCAAGAATGCTGCCCAGGGTATACCAAGAATTGACCCACATTACATCTACAAGGGGGGGAGATACACATAGAATCAAACTTTACATAACAGTTAACTCTTGGTTTGTACTACAATCAGCCTATGCTAAACATCATATTATCCAGAGTGGGATTAGCTTAGAAAATAAGATATTAAACAAGATATTTGAATTGCAATATCAATTTAAAGTCCCTTTTTTTAATTTAAAAGTAAAAATTAATAAAACTTTTTAAACTATGGATTATTTTTAATTTTATAATGAATTATAGGCATAATCAATGATCACTTTCGTACAAGTTTATTAGTCACATGTTCTGTGCTTAATTTCAGGTTGGAATACAATGAATTTTTCAATATTTCTTTCTGTAAAACTTTGTGTTTCCACATCTAGTGCCTAAATTAAATGTGGTTGATGACTAATCAACAGACTTGGATTTCTCATCTACGTTTCATTTCCCCTTTCTCAGTCACCTTGTAAGGATCCTAAGTTTTACTAACGTTTATTTTATTTTAAATCTTTACTATCACTTCTTATTTTCTACTTCCAGCCAGAATAAAGCTTTACTTATTTATGCAAATTTGTCTTGCTAAGTTGGGGTTTTTTGCCCTTAAGGTGTGTTTTTGAAGCAAGCAAGCCTCATAGTTTTTAACTCCTTTGCTGGTTACCTTCAAGTTGCAGAGGTTTTTTTCTCTTGATAATTTCAAACGTATTGTAGTTTTAGCAGCTCGCAGACTACATACGGACTTTGTTAAATAAACAGCCAATCTTAAAGCTAGCACTTGTATATTAATCCAAAGTTAGTTTAGTCAGTAGTTTTTATATCTGTTTCAGACCACAAATGGTTGGTCTTTTGTATTCCGAAGTTCCGGAAATCTCTGTAAGATAGAAAAAAGGGTTCATATACCCTTCCTGTGTGTATGTCTACTTCACAATTTATTGAACATAGCTTGAGTAAGCTCCCTGTTCCGAGTCAGGACAGTTCATGTTTCCAAAGCAAGTCAAGAGGAACACAAGTCCTGATAACCTTATGCAAGCAATAACAGACATTCCTCTCATGAGCACTTGTGAAGCAATGGTTAATAAAGCAAAATTAAATTATTGTTCCTTCGCCCATGCTCAAATACGATGATAGGTATAATGAAGTTTTCAACATATCTTGCTCTTCAACTCTAAAAATCCAAACAGAAACTTGCATTATGATGATTTTTTAATGAGAAATGCAACAATCTGCCTCTTAAATAATTTGTTTGTCATTAAAATTTTGATAATTAATATATAGTCTTGCATCAGATTTAAAAAAAAAATAATATCAATGTGTTTTACACAATTACTAATTTATATCACAATAAAAACATTTGTATTATGAAAAATTAGCTGTTCAAATAGATAGTTAATATTAAAAATTAATTGTCTATTTGAACAAATATTACAATAATTAACAACCACTTCAAAAACTAGTACTTATAAATTATCTTGTCACCCATGAAAGTTGGATACCATCGAACCATGAAAGTTACCACAGATTCCATCCAGAGATTTTGTCAAGCTTTCCTGAGAAATTCTAAAGGAACTGACACCTTTTTATCTAATAAACAATCAGTATTTGATAACTTTCATTTATATGCTTCATAAAAAGACTTTTTCTCATTTGTACTATGTTGTTAGGCCCTCTGCATTGATTTTACTAGAAGCTCTGTTTAGAAGGCTATGAATACAAACTTCCTATAGGTTATTGTTCTAATCTATTCTACTTTGTTAGTCATATTCAACTGATAATATCATGTTCATTAATACACACATCTTTTTTTACGGTAGCATTTCATAACTTTGAAAATAATCCACCACCTATACTCTGGAGAAGTTAGGTCCAAACTTTTTTCCAAAATGCAAGAAAATAAGTACAGCAATAATGGTTAATTTGTATCTTTGTTCATGAAAACAACAGGTGGGTGGCTTACTTAGAATTAATCAGGGTTACATCAGACAAAATGCATATGTTATGAGGGTTACATCAGACAAAATGCATATGTGGTTTTACATCACACTTACCCATAACTGGCACAAAATCACACTGCTTAGCAACTGTTTCATGGTTGACAGGATAATGCATAAGTACCCAAAACTAAATTTAGGAATTATTTGTAAAATTATTTGACATAAAATAGCAATTCAGTGAGCAGTTTACAATCAAAATAAGTTTTAGAATTCTAAACTCAGAAGTGAATCTGAAGTAATCACATATACCAACTAAATATACTACAAGTTACCTCAAAGTCAGTACCCTCAACAAGAATACAAACTACAAGTTATCTCATAGTTCACAGTCAGAAAGTAAAGAAACGTACAGATATGAAATATGTTTATCTATATTTCAAGATGTAAGATTTATGTTAATTAACTAATTACCTTATTATTTTATTAGTACTTCTACTCTTGCCAGCTCCTAGTAAGGTGCAAATTTGTTAACGTTTTAAGAGCAGAATTCTTAAATTTCTGAAACAGCTGTTGAGACTATCACTGACCATCACTCTAATACTTCTTTTTAATTGTCTTAGCTTTACAAACCATGATTGCTTTGTGGCAGATTTATAAGGCAAAGCTTTTAATGGCACTTTAAGATTTTACTTCAACATTTGTTCTGATTTTATTGCAAGCTGTGGAAGATTTGAATTTCTTTTAGTGCTCAAGTTGCATAACCATTAGGCTGAAAAGTGAATGAAAAGGTTGATTTAAAACTTTGTTCTGAACTGACCTCCTTCTACACTTAAAAGATAAGACATGATGATAAGTCATCTGACTGACTAGTTCCAGGAATTACCATTTAGAACAGTGTGAATCTGTACATACATTCTCCCCACACACAAAAAAGTGCATGTTTATTTAAAATTAAAGTAATCCATATGTGAATACTGGTTTTATAGAAAAACTCTATGAATTTTAAAAGAAATATTATTGGTACCTTTTCTTAATCATAAAAAATATTCTGCACTGCAATCCAGTGGCACTAAATGTGTGAAACAAAAAAATAAATAAATAATAAAAGAAGCACCATTCTAGTGGCATCGATCAAATAAAACAGGAATCAAAAGATTTTTAAAAAATTATAAGACGAGGCCTTATACACTTCATAAATGAACAGAAATTAAAATACTTTTGCCGATTTTAGAAAATTTGATGGGTTTCTAGAAAATCTTATCTTTTAATGAAAGAAATTATATATGGAGAAAATGTTCATGTATTACATTAAAAGAAATAAATTTAAATGAATAGCATTTAAATTTTATTTTAAAAACATAAATTATGCATCAGAAAGAGAGATACTGATAAATATTTCTTAGCTAATCACTGCAAGGTTCTTTAGGATTCATTAAAATTTATGACTGTTAAATTATCTTTAATCTTGTTCAGTTAATAAATTAGTTTCTTCAAGTCTATTATATTTACTAAATCTATTAATTTTAGGCAACAATTTAACATCAATCTAGTTTTTTCAAAATATCTTTTTAAAAAACTTGTCTTATGATTTTATAATTCTCTAATTTCTGTTTTATTTTATTGAATAGCTCTACAATCATATCTTCTTGTTTTTATTGCTTATTTAATTTTATTTCAACCTATAAGACAAACTAGTCTTAAAGACTACATACTGTTGTAGAGACTACAGGTTTCTGTCTACACAGAAGAAAATATGCACTGGGTTTCTTGAAGAAGGACAACAAAAATTTTATTAAAAATTTCAATTTAAAAATGAATTTTGTCCAGTTTTAAATTTCACACACACATATTTTCCTTACACATACACAGTTTATTGTTTACCTGCATTGAATTTGTCCTAAATTATGTTTTTGTGAATTTTGTTGACTCTTCCAGTCATTAAGTACATGCAGCCAAAGCTGGTCAACATCAATCTATTACTAAAAATTTTACAGTACATATATTACATTAGCAATATTAAATGTTAAATATTAAAAATTTCATCGAATATGACCATAACATTAAAGTAATTCTGGCATCTTATTTTACTACTAAAGAAGATCACAACTTTAACAGCTGTAGTGTCAGTGAGAATTTAAGGATCAACATTTTTGTCACACATATGGAGTCAAATAAAAATATCTACATTATAGCCTTATTTTGTCTATTAAAATGCAGCTGAGTTAAAACTGCAAGATCAGGACTTAAGTACTTGTTTTAACAATTTAAAATACATGAATTAAAATCAATTCAAACTCTGTTTGTATAAAACGACAGCACTATCAATAGAATCAGAAATTTTCATAAATAATAATCCTCATGTACAATTATTAGCTAATTCTTCCAAAAAAGTCTATATAAAAAAATATCATTTCAAAGATAGTCTTAACACACATTTTTAATCAATTAATCAATTTGTTAAAAGTTTTGCATAAGAAAAAAAGAAAGGCATAACAAATCTAAAATGAGTTTCCTTGGTACCTCCCTGTTAAAACAGCCATTTAGTGCCAAAATTGGCAAACTTAGGCTCTCAATCTGAAACGTGCAAATTTCAAAATGCTACCAAATATTTATGTGATGGCCACTTTAACAAGAAAGTACCATTTTCTCTTATGTTATACATGAAATTAATAATTATATGAAATTTTACCTGGGGTGTTGAAAATGTAAATATTTGTGGCCTCAAATCAACTCTTGTCCATTGGTCAATACAAGGCAAAATAAAAGCAAATCCTAAATTAACAAGATTTCCCATTGTCAAAAAAATGAATTAAGCCATTTTGATAGAAACTTGCTATATTAAAACAAGTCCATAACATCAATAGATATTCAAAAAGAAAGATTTCATATCTATTTCAAGACTTGCCACAAATATGAATAAACATAATGAAAATTAATTTAATCATTGTACTTCATTAATAATGAAAAGAATATATTCCTATGAAGAATATATGGACTTTTTTTAATCTATTTTCAGCAATGCAGTATAAGGTCATTAAAAATTACATACATTTATTTTGCATAATATATTTACATTAAAACAGTAACTTTTTAAGACACATTTAATAGAACATAAATTATTTATAATTTATTATGCACAGAAAGTAAATAAATCTGACCATTGTACATAGTATAACACCATATTACTTTGACTTTAAGACATAGAAGGATTTTAAATTTAGAAAACTGAAAAAAATGATGAAAAATAGTCACCCTTGAATTTAAATCCAGTGCGAGATTTAAAAATTGAAAAACTGGAAAACAGAACTGACTTCATAATAGGTATTGAATAAAAATAAAATAAAATTTCATAAAATAATTTTTATTTTCAAGACTTCAATTAAGAACCTGATCGTTAAGGAATCAGAGACAGGCAAAAATAATATTCACTTTGATTTTATTCTGCAATCTAATTTTATGTCTTTAAAGTTTGAATAAAAAATGTGGCTTAAATTTGAAGCAATACAGTTATATATACAACATAACATACTGATCCGATGACTTTCTCTCCCTTAAAATACCCTTCTGAAAATAATAAATTTTTTATACACATAGCCTAGTATTTAACAAATATCTAAAATAATTTCTGATTTTTTAGTTTTTATATTAAAGAAAAAATAACACAACATTTTGACTCTTTAACTATCCTTCTTGAGGAAGACGTTCAATATATCAAGCACATATATAATCATGCCCAAAACGAAGGTATATGCCATCTAAAGTCAAATTCTACTTTCCTGCCTTCTTGACTCAACAAAAATTAAATACAAGCCTCTAAGAATGAATGGTGCAATTTCATGAAATAGCTGTGAAGCATGCATTATGTGAAATGGATTCATACAGCCTTTAATTCAGTCACTCAAAAAGATCGTGACAAAATTATTCAGTAAGTGCATCATTAACTGCATAATAGGTATCTTTAGTGATATTCTGTTTCAGTCCATATTTTGATAAGAATGTTTAGTATAATGCTTACAAGTGCTTAGACATTTTCTAACTGAAGTGGTCAAAATTATCAAATCTTCAAACCTCAATTCTGACAAAGCTTCTGTGAAAAAATGTAATGCAACTTCCTATGTAACATCAAAACTGTAATGTAAAATCAGAACTTCTTGCAAACCATAGGAAAGGTATATTTCTACAAACCTTGTCTAAAAACAATTTGTAAAATGGGATAATGTTCAAACTTGTTGAAACAATACCTGAAATTCAGTGGCTTCCATCCATTCCTGAAATTCAGTGGCTTCCATCCAAGCAAATAGTGCTTGATTTGAGAGAACAAAAAGATATGGTCTTGCCCATACATACACAAAAATTAATACTAGATTTAAAAAAACAGTGGGGGAGAAGAAGCCAAAATTTTTTTTACGCATTAGACTACATCAGGCACTGACTGAATCATACATAAATTTGAATAATGAACATGTTCATATGTTACAAGCAGATTTTCAGAGTTCAAATTCAGAAATCGTGACTTTTTACACAATTGTTCAAATGGAACATAGACTCACCTAAGAGCAGAATATTTTAAAGAATACTGGTTTATTGTCAAATCTATGTAGTATGCTAACAGCTAATAGGTTACTATAGTATGTTAACAGCTAATAGGTAAACCTGTACTTCTTGCCTTTAAGTTTTATTGAATTTGCCTTTAAGTTCAGTTGAATTTGAAGCTGAATGTGTGAAACAGTTGAATTTGACCATAAAAATACATGCAAAACAAAAATATATACATATAATATTTTTTAGAGATTGAATTAAATAAAAGCACTTTCATTCCATTTTACATAATATATACTTCATACAGATCTCATGAAATTATACCATTCATTCTTGGAGACCTTGTATTAAAAAAGAAAAGAGAGAGAGAGAAAAAAAAAAGAAACTTTAACCCCTTAACAGCCACAAGCGTATATATACGCCTTGCTTAGCCAATGCGTTAATTGCCACGAGCGTATATATACGCCCTTCCAAAATACTATTATTTGCTTTGTGCTGCTACCAAATTATTTGCAAAGCTTTGGAATGCAACACCAGAATGATCTTGACAAAGTATGTGAAGGGGAATACTATTTCAGAGAAGTGTGGAGAGAAATTGGAGGGAGGGGTGTGAAAAAAAGCGATGAAAGCGATGAAAGTAATGACTGTGCGGTATTGGCTGGTGTTGTTTGAGTAAAACTTTTTTTTTTATTCGTTTACTTTTTGTAGTAGGTTCCAGGAATAAAGAAAGATACAATGGATGTTTCAAACCCATTTATCTTTTTACTTCCTTGTACGAAGTAAAAAGGAAGTATTGTAATCGTGAAAGTTTCAGGTAGCATATTTCAACGAAAATATCCTTTTGACCTCTTTCAAATGCAATTAACGATGTAATTTCCCGTGATATCTGTATGTAGGACAGAATAAAACACTCTTTTCCTCAAAAATTATAAAACTGCTTTAAAATGAATTCTGAAAAGAATTTTCCGTCGCATCTGTACAAACGTTTGTACGTACGTACGTATCTCGCACAACTCAAAAACGAGTAGCCTCAGAACATTGAAATTGTGTATATAGGACTGCTATAACATGTAGATGTGCACCTCGTATTTTGGTTGCAATCGCCTGCACCAAACGTACATAAATATACGTAGGTAAGTTGAAAAATAAGTTTTCCCTGTTGACTGTGGTCAGAGTTGTGTACGAAAGTCAAAAAATATAATGAGACATTAAAGATATGACATACCTTTATTTTATTATTCTCATATGAGTACGTTGAGACATTTGCATTATCGCTTGATAAGCTTCAAAAAGTCCTCCAAGAAAAATTCACGCTTTCCATATGGAAGAAGCGTTGAATGGCTATGGGCGAAAGGCGACACAGCAGGAAAACGTGCAAGTCACTAATACACCATTGGGTAGAGGTTGCTGCAAATCAAGCAGATGGCACTGTTGCAGTGCCTGTGCAAAAGCGGAGACCAGCCTGTCTTTGAGCCCCGGTAGGTATGGAGAGAAGGTGCGTTTTGAATTCGTGGTCAAAGGAGGAAGTGAGAGTGATTATCGGCTAATGAATGGGCACATGGAGTATCAGGAACAGAAATTCATAACCGCCTCGTGGAAGTCTATGGGCAGGTGTGATGTCAAGCAAATGGTGCGGAGATGGTGCGCACATTCAGTGATGGCGTCAGCAAGTGGGGACATCCGAGAGCTGGACGGACGCACACGGCCACTACAGATGCAAATGTCAGGAAGGTGGATACATGATTAGAGCGAACCGGCATATCACCATCATTGAAGTAGTGGAAGAACTTGGAATCTCACATGAGCGAGCTCAAAACATCATCCACGACATTCTTCGATACAGGAAAGTGTCAGCACGATGGGTGCCCTGACAATTGACCTCAACACACAAGGAACAACGCATGGGGGTCAGCCTGGAACATCTCGTGCATTATCATGAAGATGGCAATGACTTTCTGTTTGGGATTGTGACGGGGAATGAAACATGGGTCCACCATTTCACGCCAGAATCGAAGGCCGCATCTATGGAGTGGAAACATCCGTCATCACCTGTCCGAAAGAAGTTCAAGACAACTCCCTCTGCAGGTAAAGTACTCCTCACAGTTTTGTGGGACGCCCAAGGAGTTTTGTTGCTGGACTTTTTGGAGGTTAGAACCATCAATGCTACGCGCTACTGTGACACCCTGTCGAAACTGAAGAGGTGATTCAGAATAAGCGGCCTGGCCTTTCACATCTGGGTTCCTGCTGTTGGATGACAATGCCAGACCACATTCGGCGACGGCAAAGCAAAACCATATTGCAACTCTTGGTTGGAGCGCCTACACCATCCCATACAGGCCTGATCTCGCATTAAGCGACTTCCACTGTTTCCGGCTTTGAAAAAAATCTCGGGGGAAGGTGCTTTGGAAGGATTACTGAAGTGAAACAAAGCCGTTCAATGCTTCTTCCATATGCAAGCCCTGATTTTTCCTGAAGGGCTTTTTGAAGCTTATCAAGCGATATGACAAATGTCTCAATGTACTTGTCCTATGTGGAAAATAAAGGTATGTGAAATCTTTAATGTCTCATTCTATTTTTTGACTTTCATACACAATTCTGACCACAGTTGACAGGGGAAACTTATTTTTCAACTTATCCTCGTATTTATATATATATCCACTCTTACCCTGCTCAGTGATCTCAGTTTCTTTCTCTTGTATATTTGTAAATTGTACATTTTTTGCTTTAAAATGATTGAATTATGTTGTTCTTATCTTCCGTTAAGCGTTTTTATGCCTTTAGTAATCTATATGCAATATTTTTAAAATTCAACAATTTTAAAATTGTTTTAAGTGCCGCTAAGCTTATAATTTTTTTGATGGCGGCCATTTGCTCTTGTTTACATTTGAAACAGCAGGATAGCGGATTTTTTTGCCAATCTAGAGAACTTAGCTTCGCAACAACAAAGATACACCTTCATTTATTATTATGCGAATTAAATCATGCTTAATCCTTTCTGAATTTTTTCAAGGAAATAAGTGTTTAAGATTTACTTCATAATTTTTAAACAGATATTTCGAGTTTTTATGTATTGTTCCTTGTCACGAAGTGAGAACTGAATTAATTGAATGAGAAATACTCAATCGTCTGTGAAAAACTGTTTCTGTTTTGTTTGTTTGCTTAATTTCTTTATATATCGTTCTAAGCTTTATTATAGTATTTGAATAGAACATGTGGCAACGATTAGATAATCTTTAAATGATATAAATTTTGTGCATTCTGAGTTATAATATGAATAAATATAATACTGTTAAGTGAACCTAGTGCCAGAGTGTTGCTATGGTAAACAAAGTGAATTTTAAAGAATGCATTCATTCTATTGTGGTTTATGTGCTGTCGGCGAAGTAGGTTTAATTCAATCTAATAAGGTTAAATGAAATGCAAGAAAAAATGCGTATAGTTTAATATTCCGTACAAGAAAGTCATGTGGTGTACACATCAGATTTTTTGAATTATTTTTTGATGAACTGGTAGTGCTTCATATTGTTACTGAAACTAACTGTTTTGTAGACGAGTATATGAACCAACACCTTGCAAACGATAAATCAAGAACAAAATCGTGGCATTCAACCAGTTCAGAAAAAATATGTTTTTTTAGGCATATTGATTTCACAAAACTGATATACACTTTACTGTCTAAAAATGAATTGATCGAAACTCCATTTTAGGATCTTTTTATTATAAAACATCATTTTTATTACTTACATCTTTTTATTATACTTTTACTCAAAACATTAAATTTTGTGCATTTATTTTTTTTTTTTCTTTTACTCTTTATTTTGTGAAAGTAAACAGTTTTAGAAAGTAAAACTTGCACTTATTTCCCCCCTAATACATTGCATAACTACGCGTGCCTGTGTGGAAAAACCCTGGTACTGGGAAATGAATCTTGTACATTTCCCACGGCAGTTAAGGGAAGTTTTATACGGCAGTTTTATAATTTAAAAAAATTATTTCAACATGATAATTTTATGAATGTACATAAGATTTGTATACAGATACAAAATATTGAAAACAGCAATATAAATATACAGCAGTAACTCGTAAAGTCCAGTTTCAATTCGTCTGTATTCACTAGAGTGAAAATTTCAAAATAAATCACATTTTAATCCAGTAAAATAAAATAAAATTCTGAAAAATTAGCACACAAGTTCATTATTAAATGCTTAAATGATTTTTTTACACTTTTTGTAAACAAGATTCTTTTTGTGCAGGTTTAATGTTATGTAATATAATAGATATTTCTGGCTTCCTGTTGTATACTATGTGCCTATGCTTGGGTCATTTATTCTTGAACTCTGATAATGCAGTTAATTTTTGGGCTCTGATAATGCAATTTGTTTTTGAACTCTGACAGGAACAGAAGCATATCATACACCATTTTGCATTTTTTTTTGTGGGGGGGGGGGTTGTTTTTGTTATACCTCTAACTTCAATTTATCATGTTCCACAAAATATACCACAAAGCTTACACATGTAAGTTATAGCACTAACAAAATAAATAAACAAATGTACAATAGCACTTCAAATGTGGAAAAAAATTATTAAAAAAATAATGAGTGAAAGAATTAACAGAACTCGATAATCTGAACTGAGAATGAAATTCCAAAAAGCAGAAATTGTCTCTTTAGTCAGAAAAAGTTCAGAAAAAAATTAGTGACCAAGATATAGACAGGTGCTTCAAAGTTGCATGAATTACCTCCCTCTCTTCCTCTGCTAGATATATGAATGCACTCACGAAGAATATGCTTAACATCTTCATTGCCACTACCACAGCTGTGCAAAGCACTTGAAGCAAATCTAAATCACTTTAACTAGCTCTTAAAATTGCCCTGTGCAGTAAAAAATTGAGTTACTTAAAAATCTATTGAAAATTGATTAAGTTTTATTTTGTGAAAAATTGTAGGAAAAGACCTTTTGGTTCATTGTGCTTTTAATGAGGCCATATATTCTCTGTTCAAAATATGCATAGCATAATTTCTATAAAAGTGTTTCCAATGAGAAACACATAAATTTAAATCAATGTGAAGTTTTGTGGTTAGCTTCATTAGAGCTGTCTCACATCTAAAATTTCCAGTGTCCACGAATGTAAATAAAATGAATGTCAATACCAAAATCTTGCAAGGTCTTAAAGAATAACCTGATTCAATAGCAAGTATTTCTAAAACACTAATTTTCTGTAATAATTGTAGCAAAGAAAACAAAAAACACTACATATTAAAGTGTACACTGATCTCAGACCACTACAAGAATTCTGAATTCATTTTACAGCAAGAAACTCAGTTTACTAAAGTCGCTACAAATATACTGGAAATTAGGTTGGAACTGGGTTTCAATGTCTTAGATTCAGTCAATACAATTAATTCGAACACTGATGCACTAGTCCAACTTTTCCCAAACTCTAACAATCATTAAGTATTCTTCGAAGAATTGTAAAACTGAGGTTATTGAACAATGAAGCATGTTCTGCTTTTATGTATTTAACACAAACTAAAACAACTCTCAAAGGGAATTTAAAGAGAAAACATACAACAAAGAGGCTTGAATTGTGTATGTAATAAATTTAGTTATGTAGCATGACACCAAATGGCTTATGTTGGCCAACAAAATACATGCAGATTGCATTTCTGTTAGTGTTTCTATTCTGAGCTCAGTAGTAAAGACGTGTTTCAGAGTCACTTAAATATTTTAAAAGTATTGATTTTCTTTATACATAGTTTTATTTTTTTTTATTTTTAACCGGTAAGTAAATATAAAAGTTTTGCTAATGAATAAATGTAATATCATTGTCATATTACTCATACCAACTATTAAGTGTAGTAAATTTTATCTTTTATAGATATGATATAAAAATTGGAATAAATATTTATTTTGTTTATACAGTCAAAAGTCTTTAATCCAGACAGTTCCGGAATAATCCAGAAAGCAAAGATTCCTTGAATATTGTAATATTCATTAAATATTGAAAATTGTATTGTTATGTTATGATTATACTCTCATATAAGCATCTTAGGCAAAGGCTCATAATGTATGAATCATATTGAATATGTATATGATATATAAATGAATATATGGTATATATACATATGAATTATATTGAATATTAAATTTTTTATGATCATATTTCATAATAGACAAACACACAGTTTGTTTGAAAAGATCATAACATCTTCCATAATTCTCCCAATGAATAAATTAATATATATTTTATATCACATTTAAAGCTAACAATGTAGTAAATTTGAACATTTTATTTTCAATACATTTCAATGAAGTAAATTTGAACATTTTATTTTCAATATATTTCAATGAAGTATACTTGAACATTATATAATATTATACCTGGTCCACGAATGGGCTGTAATTTACCTAACCGCATCAACACAATACGCTCTAATGCATGAACTCTCTGAAATAGACAATGAAAATGTATAAATTATAATGAATAAATAATATTCAAGTAAATACAAAATTAAAGATTCTATAATTTGATCATTTGAGGTATAGATTTCTAATGTTTACCAGCTCATTACTCTTTTTTCAAAAGTTTTTCTTATTCGTTGCCCTTTTCCAAATTTATTCAGCACTCTCTTTTCTTGCAATACTAATGATATATTTAAGTGACTTGAAATATGTATTGGATTTTAAGTTCCTAAGTATTTATTTCATTTTAAATGCATTAAACTATTAATCTAGTTTTGTCATGACATTCAAAGCCTGACTAGTAAAGATTAAAGACATTTTGGATATTTATAGTCATAGCAGCAAAACTAGCAAAACATTGCAACCATTGTGCATGCACTGAACTTGCAAGAATCTGCAAGCTACTTCCACATACAAAATATCAAAAAATTACACATCTGCGGACATGTTTTTTGAATTTTAGACTAAAATATTAATTTATGTGTTTTGCATGTCTTTAAGAGAAGATATGAACTATATATAATAAAATGCATGAAAGGTCAAAATGACAAGATTTAATATAATTCTGGTAAAGATGGTTAAATTAGGTTAGGTTAACTGATTAAGGCAAAGCAACTCAAAGGTTGCCTGCCTATGGGGACGGGTGCTTTCATGGAGGACTTTCTATAGGAAACTGACTTATTATATTAAATATGTGGAAAACCACACAAATCAACTATGAAGCCAGCCCATTCATCTGGACTTGATCTCAGGTTGAACTACCAGTATTTAGTGATTTTACAACTTGGTTGCTGGTGGGCCCCTGTAAAGATGGATTATTATAAAGTTTCGATATTTAGTAAATACTCAAAACATTTATTTAAAAAGAATATATCTCAGTAGATGGTTTAATAAATAGTCAAACTCCAGGCTGTGGATTCCATTTCTTTGTTGGCTGTCTGTGTGCATCTTCCTCTTCTCAGGAATGTAACATCGCATCTATCCTCATGGTGAACCCTGGATAATATTCTCGAAGATGAGAGAAATAAAATACCAGTCCGTCTGGCCTTTCCCAATGACCTGCTTCTGAGGAAGCCTCCGGCCATTGAAGAGAATGATTAAAAAAATATTCAGGTAATCAAATTAATTTCAAGTGCGTTTTATTACTCATTAGCTTTATAATTTTCCTTACTGGCCCACGAACCAACAAGCTTTACAATTTTTTTCCCTGCATATAAAACAACAAAATGCAATTTTTATACAATAAACTTCTGGTTCAAACTTTTAAATGATTAAATAATTGATGAAACATATTATCACAATTCATAATCCAAAACAATAAATCAGCTCCCCTTCATATTATAATAAAAGTGAGTGTCTTAAATGTAATGTCACGTAAACATCGTCTATAATCATAAATTTTACACATAGTACTTTGACATAGTTTTCTGCCCTTTCCTTCCAATTTCATAATGTTTATGTATGTGATTTTGCTGGCAGTTCCCTAAATCATATGGTAAAACTATTTGTTTAAATAGACCTCATGCTTCATATTCTAGAAGCCACACATCACTTTTACATATTGCAAATAAAAAGGAAAATATATTTTACATGGATTATCATATTGTTAGTAGAACTGTCTAATTCTGAATGCCATCATAAGCTGTTAGCAGAACATGACTTAAATTTAGCTTCTTTGGTACCTTCTGAAAATCAATACCTCTGTGAAAAATTGATAACTTGTTAGCGACTAATTTTTTACCAAGCTAATACAAGAAAGACAACAGCCATTTAAAAATGGCAGCACACTAAGAATTCCATAAAGGAGCAATGTATAAATAAAATTAAAAGCAAGAAACACTCATAATAAAACACTTATTGTTTCCATGAAATCCTTAATTTCCCCTTCCCCCCCACACTCTCTTCATGTACAGAGCAATCTCTTTTCACATCAAAAAAGTGAAAGAATTGCACATATTGTTATTTTCTCACAACAAACATAGCAATCTGTTTTTGCTTAAAAAAAAAAAAAAAAAAAAAGATCAGAGAATTGCAAGAATTTGGCATCCTGTATTTTAACATTTATGCTTAGGGGGAAAACTCTTACAACTTTACTCTTACATGAAAAAAAAAACAATACAGTCAAAAGTCTTTAATCCGGACTTGTCGGGACTTCGGCGATTCCAGATTATAGATCATCAGTTTAAATTGGTAAGATGGCATGCAGAAATTACAAAATTAAAATATGAAACCGTAATTATGAAATAAAGAGCAATTATGATCTAAAAGGTATCAAATTTACAAAAAAAAAAAAAAAAAAGCTTAATACTTATTTGTTTACTTTATTAAGCATTTCTTTCGTTCAACACGTCATGCGTAAAGCATACATTACGCATAGTCGAAATTAGAAAATTGCAACCAGAAAAACGACTTTGATTTGTATTCGTGATATTTATATGATGAGGAATTTGATTTAATCATATCAAAGAAAGAGTACATCGAATGAAATACTAAATTTAGTACGGAATTATAAGCCGAATAAAATAAAAACATCTGCCCTGAAGATAAGGATAATGCTGACAGATCAACTTCCAGTTGATTGCCCGCTGCGACATCCCCCCCCACGCAGAGCAGCGTGCAATTGATAAACAGATTTCGGAATGGTTAGAGAAACAAAGGATATGCCACTTTTTGTTTGATGGACATCAAAACACTGCTTTTGCTTTGTAGATCCTTTGGCAGCTCCAGAATCAGATATTCTTTTTGACATAATTGAAAGTTCAAGCTTACTTTTATAAAACTGCTTTAACAGTCTGCAAAAAATAATATGCCGGATCCAATATGAAGATTAAGGAACAACGCAATCTGCAACATTAACTGAAATAGATAATTTTAGCTTAGCTTATACTGTCTGTTATACATTAAATGTGCATGCGTTAATGTATTATGCACATGCATACATGCATGCATTGATGCATGCGCAGAAAGTTTGTAGCTTTGAGATACAGATTATGGGTGTCCGGAATAACGACTTTTGACTGTATTTCTAAAGAAATGAAACTCTCTTTTTCTTCACCCAGCAAACCTCACAGTCTCATCGTGATTCCTTAGGTGGGGGAGGGGGGAGAAAAAAAAGATACTCAAAAAAATAAACATCAGAAAAAATGACTTCTGAATTTCAAGGTCAGAATCCACACTTATCTGCTGCACATGCACATTTACGTGGGTTACCACGATGTCACAGTTTGCCTATATTGGCGATATATTAGATAAAAGACTGTGATAAAGGGACACACATAGCAGTATAAGAAATAAAGCAGAATAAAAGTGATGACCATAAAAAGAAAAAAGGAAAAGCTTAATTAAATGTTGAAATAAAAAAATTTCACACAAGGCACACTAATTATTTTGATCAGCTATGAACTCAAACTGAAAGGGAAAAAATAAAAGATTGCCAATAGCTGTCTTTCATAATATAATAAATACAGCAGGAATAAGCACATATGTGATTTATGTACCTAATTTCTTTAGAAATCAGAGTATAAATGAAAATATTTTAATGACTATACTTTATGCTGAAGCTATACTAGCATGTGCAGGTAAAATGGAAACCAAAAAAAAAACTTACCAAAAAAAAAAAAAAAAAAAGGTACAACTCTGATATACGCCCTAATTTCCCAATGTGGCGATTGTATTGCCTGGTTTTTGGCCGATGGCGTGTTCTTGGCAACCCTGTTGACGTTGAACCTCGCTGGAGCTCGTTGATTAGCGTCTGTGTCTGAGAAGAGGGAGGGAAAGTAACGGTAGAAGTTGTGGAATTGAGTTCGGCAAAAGGAAATCTCATTGGGCCATCCTGTTGAGGAGTAGTGGTATTGGAGGGTGGAAGAGGGTCTGGGAGCTTATTTTTATGGCTGTGCATGATAGAAGTAGGGATTTTTGATTTATTTATTTGTGAACCATAGTATGAATTTCGGATTGATTTGGCTGTCATGTAATATGATAGGGATTACGTGGCGACATGTTAAATTGGTATTTTGCTGCTCGAAAATCATTATTCATGGTAAGTGCATTTTATTTATTCTTGTTCTTATTTTGTGAATGTTATGTTCTTGGTTATTAGTATGAATTTCTGTCATATTGTTGTTTTTGAAACAGAACGCTCTGTACAGGTATTATTGATTTATTGTATTATGTTTTATTGAGCGAGGTTGCGTAGATCGTAGATTCGTCTTGCCTACTTGGCAATTCGTAGATTTTTTTTTTTTTTAAGTTTAAACAGGATGCTGTGTAATGGTATTCTTTGAAATTATTGTTATTTAATTATTAAAGTGAGGTGTGCGTAGTTCGTATTTGTTCTGCCTAAATTGTGCAATTTGTAGATGTTTTTTAAGTTAAAACACGCGCTGTGTACAGGATTCTCAAATATTTTTGGTAGAAACTTTACGTTTTGCTATCTAAATTTTTGTTTTGTTTCGGATTTAGCTTAAATCGTGTGTTCAAATGTAGTTTTTGATGGGAAACCGTTTTTTTGGAGACATTTTAGGCTTAAAGTTCGAAATAAGACAAAAATTTATAGTATATGGTAACTTGAAGTTTCTCGCCAAAAATGTTTGGTGAGAAATTTGGCGACTTGAGGGCGCATATAGAGTAGTTCCATTAAAAAAATATTGAAACTGATAATAAAAATAGCTCTAGAAAAAGAGCAAGCAAGTGCAAATAATTTTACAAAATCAGCAACGGCATTAGGCATATTGCAGTTAATTGACTATCCCTAAAAAATATCGATGTAGACATAAAAAGGTAATACAGAGATAATATCCAGAGGAATTTTATCTTGTTTATATTTAGACCTGTTGCATGTAAAAACAAATAACATTTCAATTACTATTTAGTTTAATTGCATAAAATTGGTTGCATTGAATGACATTTCTAGATAATGGACATAAAGCATACAGTTTTGTGTATAATTTTTATTTTTAAATAAAATAATGAACAATATTATTAAATTTATATGTCATAGAATTTTGATAGTTCACACATGTTAAAATAAAGGACTGTTGATTTAAAGCAGTGCTTTCAGAACAGCACGAAAAAGTTACTGAAAAATTTGGTGATGAATGTGTTTTATTTTTCAATGCATCATGTAATCCTTATTCAGTAATCAAAATTTGCATTTTAATTTGTTAAAATATGTTTTCTTTTCATACATTGATTACGTTTGTGAACTTATGGCAAATACTGATAGTTTGGGAATCTTTTTTATAAAAGTCACAGAAACCACCACCAATAAATAAGTTTTACCTTTTGTTCTGTAAAAAAACCACCAAATTGCACCAAGGTGGTGACATTAATACATACGTAATGATCTAAACTATTTGGCATGAAAGCGTCTCTATGAGTAAAGCAGTGTATTATTTGAACATCAAGATTTCCAGACCGAACTTTGCCTCTAACATTTCCTATCATTGTAATGGCACCATCAATACATATACTTATGTAATATTTTCATGAAATTTTATTTACATAAAAGTATTAATTGATCATTTTCAGCCTAGCCTTCTGGTGCTCTTGCCCCATAATTAGGACTTAGAGGTTAAATTTTTCACAACACACCAAAACTCTGCCAGAACATATTGGTTGGAAAGCATTACATAGGGAATTTTGCAAATTACAAGCTTTGACTTCTTAAATTTTGTTTACATTTTTCCCTTACTTATTTTTACAATTAAAGTTGGATAGTTTGCACATTAATAACTAATTGCACCATATCTTAATAATTAACTAATCAAAGATTTTTAAACTTTATAAAACAATTATAGTTTTTAATAATACATTACGTACAAAAATATCGGTGCAAAATAATGTGTATCAGAATATTACAGTGCAGGAAATTAATAAAAAATATAGAATTTTTTTGAAGACATGAAAAGCTCTTAGGTAATGATGAAGTATGCAATCTACTAGTTTTAGTTAGTTGGCTTCAGAACTGTAGTTGGAACTGAGTTGAGATTTGCAATGCTGCCATTTTTCTAGCATATATTACCAATTTATCTTTCATTATATATAATGAAAGATAAATTGGTAATTTTATAAAATAAGTAGTTTTTAATTTAAAACCAGTAAGTAATTTAGACTTTAATGATTCTTCATAAAAATTACCTTGCATAATCATTCAGCTGTTGTTTTTATTAGCTTAGAACGATTAGGGATGTTGGCTTAGATTAATTTGAAACTAATAATATTATAGAATGAAAAGCTAATATTCAGAAAAGAGAGCTTGGATCATTAAAACTTAAAAAAAGATTCACTGTAAAACTATTTTGGAGTATTTTGCAAGCAAATCTTTAAGTTATGCATATTATAAAAAGCAGTAGAACACATATGACATAATTACCAAACTTACTTTTAAACAAATCCACATGGTAACAGGAAACATAATTATGACAAGCACATGAAGAACAAATGTGATGATATATCTTAGCAACATAGAAGGCCATGTCTCTCTTGCAACTTCATCTGCAAAATGGATCATAATAAATATAACATTTTTAAATAAAATACATATAATGAACCTAAATCAACAATAATGTATCTATCTATTAAACAGCTATATAAAATTATGGGTAATTCCTTATTATAGTGACCCCAATATTGAATCACTAATCAACTGAGACATCTCAGCGAAATTTCACAACATATTCTTATACCTTGCCACATGTTACATTTTTTTTCTCACCATGTATAATTATATTAGCATCGTGTTTCATTTTTGTTAAGGGTTTCGAATTCACGTTAATATTATTATAGCAGTTCGCTAGATTGAATTGCTAATTAACCAAGATACCTTGCCACATGTTCTTATGTTCTCTGCATGTTACATTTTTGGACTCGCCATGTTTTCTTACACTCAAAACATGTTAATATTTTTGTACTCGCCATGTTTTCTTAAATTCAAAACATGTTAATATTTTTGCACTCACCACATGTTATATTAGCATTGCATTTAATTTTTCTTACGGGTTTCAAATTTGCATTCATTTTAAAAAATATTTCTTACATTTTTGTGAATATGCTGTTAGCAATCTTTATTTTACCAAATAAAGAGGTGGATGGATGTCATACCAGTTTTCAAAAAAGTCGAATTCTACCTGACAAGTGAGTACAGAAAAATGGTCACAACATGAAACTAAATGTTAACAATCAAATCATTTGGAGGTAACATCTGTATAAGAAAGAAGGGCCTCTGTATTGGAAATTGGTTCAAGAATATCATTCGTCACTTCTATTAGATTTATATATTTTTGGGAAGAGGAGCCAACATCCATCAAATGTGACAAACATCTTAATATGTGTGAAAACACAGGATTGGAACAATTACATGCGTGAAGTGTTATCCCTACATCTGATGTAAAGTTTCAGTGAATGAATAGGCAGTCCCAAAAAAATAGTTGAAATTGAAGAACGTTTGTCCGACGTAAGAAGCAGTAGCAGGGTACTTCCACAACAGTAGATTTTAGGAGGAATATGTCGGGAAGATGGCGAGTGTTTTGTCATACAAATCTCAAATAGAGATTAATTATTACATTTATTAATTAATTATTCAACACATACCAGATGAATCAACGATCTATTCAGATTGCTGGATGGAACATAAAATGGAGCAACTTGAAGAAGCTGTTATAGTCATTTTATTGTGAACCATATGCACAATTTTGTAGATCCAACAACCCAAAATATGGAACACCCAAAATATGGAAAGAATGCGAGGTTTAGCCAAATGGTATAATAAAAAACAACAGCCACAGCTTGACATCACCTCAAATCATATCTTTCATAATTTATGTGCAGAAAGTACACAGGAAAAAATTATGTTTTTGATGAATTGCTGAATACTATTTTAGATACATGGCTTCTCATAATGATTTTAAAATATTCTTAGGAAACAACATGTGAGTATTATTGTTATTATTGCATATTATGCCATTTATTTTTATCTTTGCACTTCACGAGCTGGTGAGATATCTCGATTGATTAGCGATTCCATCTTGAGGGCTGCTATAATACGGAAATACCAAATTATATTACTTGACAGTAGATTTTTGCTAGTTAATGTATGAAAAGATAAAATAAACATTTTTATTTTTTCTCTATTTTATGACAATAGTTCATAAATTACTAGTATGCAGAAGTTATTACATGGGTGAGTACCTTTTGATCTCATGGCATGCATAGAATACAGTCAAAAATCGTTAATCCGGACTCGTCGGGACTTCGGCGATTCCGGATTATAGATCATCAGTTTAAATCTGGTAAGATGGCATGCAGAAATTACAAAATTAAAAATATGAAACCATAATTTATGAAATAAAGAACAATATGATCTAAAGGGTATCAAATTTACAAAAAGAAAAAGCTTAATATTTATTTGTTTACTTTATTAAACATTTCCTTCAATGTAAGTTGCTTCGTTTCATGTGATAATACTTTCTCTTTAATTCTATTAAACAGACATAATTTCTTGTTTAGTTACAAAGTTCCGCTGTTCAAGTCCTATAATTGCTGTTAATTGTATAATTGTCCTATAATTGTTGAGAATACCGACTAATTTGTCAATCGAAATGTTTTCGTTTTCAATAACCTCTGGGTCACTTTCTTCACTATCGGAAGCGAATTATAATGACAAGGAACTTGATTTAAATCATATCAAAGACGGAGTAATCGAGATGAAATACTACACTTAGTTACGGAATTATAAAAAATAAAATAAAAACTCTGCTCTGAAGATAAGGATAGTGCTGACAGATCAACTTCCAATCCGCAGCGTGAAACTGATAAACAGATTTCGGATTTCAAAACATACTTTCGCTTGTAGATACAATTACATATTAGTAAATATATATCGGAAATTCTATTGACAGAATCTTTCTAATCTATCGTAATCTAATAATGACGTTTCGCCCCCCACCCTCTGCCGCAGAGCAGCGTGAAATTGATAAACAGATTTCGGATTTCAAACATACTTTCGCTTTGTAGTAAATATATATCGGAAATTCTTTGACATAATCGAAAGTTCAAGCTACTTCTATAAATTGCTCTAACAGTCTGCGAAAAATAATAAGCCGGATCCAATTCGAAGATTAAGGAACAACGCAATCTGCAACATTAACTGAATTAGATAACTTAGCTTAGCGTATAATAACTGTTACACATTAAACGCGCATGCGCACAAACATATTCGCCAGCTGTAAGGGTCTTATGCGCTCTCGTAAACGCTGTGCGCATGCGTGAACGCGACGCATGCGCAGGAAAGTTTGTAGCTTTGAGGTCTGGATTATAGATCATTCCGGATTAGGGTGTCCGAATTAACGACTTTTGACTGTAGTTCTAAAAAATCACCAGCTATGTTCTTAACAGATTATTAATCCATACTTGTTGGCGAGCATAACTAAACCAAACCACTTTTTTTAAAATATTTTTAAAACAAAAACTTAGTCTTAACAAAAATCTGAAAAACTAATAAAAAAATTAAATAGGCTTCATTAATTTAAAAATGATTAGGTTTTCTTTACTACATAAAATATGTAAATAAGTAAGAAGTAAGCATTTTGCCTTTTCTCTCATGTGGCTGATTTATTCTACCATGGAATTCAACTCTATTTCTAATATAATAAAACCTTGATTTATGAATTTAATTCATTCTTAAAGACAGTTCATTATTCGAACTGCAGATAAACTAAAATTATTTATAATAGTAATTAATGTAAAGTAGATTAATCCATTTCTGGAACTGATTGCTTATTTAAAATTTACAATACTACTTTGTGCAAAAGAACATAACACAAAACCAATGGAAATAAACCATGAACCACATTAAAAAAATAAATAAATAAATAAAAAAAAATTTGATAAAATTTAATTTAATTGTATCTGAATGATGACTGGATATTATAAATAAAAAGTGATGAGAAGTGGATGTTATTGTTTGGATAAATACCCCACTGTCTTTCTGAGCCATATTCTTTAATATTCCTCTCAAAGCCACCCTAATTTGTTTAAAAGATAAAACTTGCACACACACACACACACACACACAAAAAAAAAAAAAAAAAAAAAAAAAAACATGTCCTGTTCTACTGGGCCGACTGACGAAATTGCATTTTTCGTTTGTCAAAAACATGACTCAGGATATAAATTAGACTTAATATAGTATTGTTCTAACATATGTATCTGATTTGTACCAAAATCAGACTTTTTCTGAAATGGCATACATATTTTTTTATTTCAATTCTGCGGCTCAAATTGAGCCAAAATGTTAAATTTGATAAAAAAAAAAAAAATCACACGAGTAGTTTTTAAAAAATTACCTCTCAAAATCTGAGCTCCTCAATTTTAATTGAATTGGGTATATATTTATTAATATCTACTTGATTCCTTCTTTTACACCATCTTAGTAAAAGTAGCCAATACTGTATATAACTTTAATATATATCCTAAGTCGTGCTTTTGAGACATGAAGAACACAAGTTAAATTTTGTTAATCAGCCCATTAGAACAGGAGATACAGAACTGTCCCCTTTTTTTACAAGGTGTACAAGTACAGATACAGGTAGAAGTTGGTGAGACACCTGAATTTCACCATTGGTCATACAAGTGAAGGCCTGCCACATTAATTGTACAGTTCCAAACCAGTTTTGAGGAAAAATAACCCTAGGGGGTTCTGAGGGACTCCCAACTCTCTTTCCCTATCACCAACCTGTCGAAAAGACTTTCAAATCTCCATGTATTTTGAGTTCCCCCTTACAAGTCCATGCTTTCTTTGGGATTTGAACTCAAGGTATAGGTAAAGCAGTCTCTTGCTTTTTTTCTCTTCTTTCTTTCTTGGTAAATTACACAGTGAGATTTAAGGATTTGGAAACCGGAGCTTATATCAACACTATGGAAGGTATGTGGAGTTTAATAAAAAAGGATTTTCGAAAGAAATGCCATTGACAGTCTGGCAGTACAGGGAATATTGTTTATTTTTTCTTTTGTGAATTTATGTGGTGATGGCAGGATACAGATTATAGTTTAGATAATTTTTGGATACTGTTAAAGAATTCTGTATATCTCACATACCGAAGAAACAGAAATTTTAAAATTAGGTAAGTCGATACTTTCTTTTTTGTACAGCATAGATCAAATAACATGTACTATTTCCATTCTTTTGTTACTTCCTTGTTTGATTTAAAATGCAGTTTATTCAGATTATATATTTATGTTTCATTGCATTAAGTTTTGGATGCCATTTTACTGGAGAGGGTGTTGGATGTAAACAGGAATGGTGCCAAAAAATCACCAATTTTCACCAAGGGTATACCCTGAAATATATTTTTACTCAAATAATAATATTTGTTTCTGAAAGTTTTCATTCTTCCTGCATGAATGCCTAACAGAAAAGTTACATTTATGATTGTTCATATAAAAAATACAATTACTTTACAGTTATACTTGATTACAATTACTATAATTAGATACCAACAGAAAATGAAATCTTAACACCAAGAAGGAATTGTGCTAGACAAACAAAATTTGGAAAACATGTCTGAAAGACAACATCTATTCACATTCTGCACTAGACGAATAAGCATAATGTTAGTAGCACCATTATGAACATCCAAATCACACTGCAATGTAAGCTTTACATACTTCAGTTATCATTTTACTAAAGATTGGATGCTAAAAGCAAGATTTGAGTCATGAATGTCTTTAAGGAGATGATGAAGGCAGTATCACGGCTTACTAAGTTTGATTGAGGCCATGTAACAGGGTGAATAAGGTGAATTTTCTTTTTGCGATATTGCATAGAGACTTAACAATCATATGTTCACAGTACATGCATGTTGGTAGCAGTGGTCACAGAAGGATACTGTCTCAAATGTTGGGGTCTAGCCACATGTACGCTAGCTACTGCTCAAAGGAAAGACTATATTTGTTGCACGTCTATGGCACATCACATTGCATCTACAGCAGATATTTGAGCTTTTGTTGGCACCATATGTACACAGAAAACTGTAACAAATCAATTACTTGAGGGGCAGCTCTGAGCCAAATGCCCTGTTAGTAGGGTGGACATGCCACTAACTCCAAATCACTGCCATCTGCAACTTTGGTGGTGTTAAGCTGGAGTTCACGCGAGGGCAGAGTGGAGATCAATTGTGTTCTCAGATGACAGCTGTTTCTGTCTTGGTGCTAGTGACAGCTGTATGTTCATTAGGAGGAGGCTATGTGAGCACTTGGAATAAAGCTCTCTATAGTGTAGACACAATGGACTTTTACCAGGACTTATGATCTGGGGAGCAATTTCCGATGACAAAAGAAGTACTCTCATCATTATTCCACATACTCTGACAGCAAATTTGAACATCAAACTACTGATTGCACCAGTGGTCAGATACATTTGTTTGTATTTTCGGAAACATAGCTGCATGAAAATATTTAATATAATATAAATATGAAAGTTCTACAACATTACTGTAACACAAAATAAATTTAAAAACATTTATATATTCACAAAATATAAAATCTCACCAAATTCTTCGTCAGAAGATATGGAAACAGCATGGTAAGAGAAAGCAGATTTATAATGACTTCGATTATATGACTTCATATTGATGTTACTCGGACCATATTCAAAAATTGATCGGTAATCAAACACAGGACTAAATTCAGAGTTAGTAATCATGCTTTCTGAAACAAGAATTTAAAAATATAGCCTTAAAAAAGTAACAGCAGCTATCGGAAAGAAAAGTTATTCAAATTAGACTGGATGCTCATGATTTTAAAAAAAAAAAAAAAGGATGAAGTAGTTATTCCATCAACATACATAAAATTTAAAGGACGAACTTACACAGCAGTGGCTCGGTTTTTCTCATATATTATGAAATAATGAAGTAGATACCATACACTGCCCATCTGACAAACTCATTTCAATTGCTAGCTGTACTTTGGTGTTACACATTATTATGATACACAGGAGAGAATTTTCATAACCATCAAAACAAATAGATATCCTGTTTTGCCCCCGCTAAGTCTTTTTGCCTCCACGTTGAAAATCAAGCTTGGGTGCGAAAGAAAGTAAATAGATAGACTAGTTTTGTTTTGTTTTGTTTTGTTTTGTTTTTTTATATATATATATATATATAAGAATATGGCAAAGCACATAAGAGCTCTCTGCTTAAGGAGAATGATGCCTTTGTCAAAGACTTACTAAAAGAAACTGGCTCCTATATACGTTACACACGGGGTAAACTATGAAGCCCAGCCCATTCCCTGGGACTCGAACCTCGGACCGAACTACTATTTTTCAGCGCCCTTCGGACGCTGGTGGGCCCAAATAGAAAGAAAGCAATTTTGCTGAAGAGAAAAATAATTCCGCAGCATTTCATGCCAATTTTGCGAAATCCAGGTAAAAAATAAGGCTCATCATATATCAAAACAATAATAATGATATAAGAAAGAGAAGAGAAAAGAAACACGTAACGTAATTTAACCCTAAATTTATCCTGATGTGCAAAAATGAGTCAAATATTGGAGAAATCCATGTAAGCCAAGATCCGTAGAAAGAAAAGGAGTAGTGTAGTTCTTTCTACGGACTTTGCATGTAATTTATCACCAAATAATGAAGGGCTTAATGCGCTGTTGTAAATATATAGCGTGTTGAAAACACTAAACTTATGCAAATGAAAAAGGATTTAAAAAAGGAGGAGAGACTCCGTTCCAGTAACTGAACACGCCTTAACATTTTTGTTTCCTATCGGAAGTATAAATGAAGCTAGAAGACGTCTGATCAGTAGTGTGTCACTTTGAAAACTAATAAGTGTGCTTGAGCTACACCGACTCGACTGCTCGGTAGTCGTAGATTCGGTGTTGGCTTGAGTTAATTGAAAGCGTCTGCAAAGCCAAAGAGATTAAAAAAATTGCGGACCCAGTTTAATAAAAATATAAAATATATTCCAGAAGCTAACTTTAAGCTAAGACAGGACAGCACATTTTTATAAAATCTCTCTACTATATAATATATATATATATATATATATATATATATTATATATATACGGAGGCAAAAGTAAGAGCATATATACGGAAATTCCAAAATAGAATACAAGGCAATAGCTTGTTTCTTATGAGAACAGTTGCCACAAAGAACAAAACAGCAAAAAACGTAGCTCTTCATATATTTTTTTGGAACGCAGCAGCAGACAAAAGTAAATATCTATGCCTAATTCGAGGCACTTAGCAAAACAAAAACCCATATCTCCATAACACGCTTTCAAAGTAATAATGAAATTAGAACGCCAACTAAGCTTCAATAAATTACTAAATATTTGGAGGAAAAGCTTTACAAAATCATCACGTGCTCCTAAATAATGGAATCTTCGTAGCCACAAAAATTTCTTTCTAGACTAAAGTAAAAAAAATAATAATAATAATAAATAATAATGATAATAATAAAATTTACATAATGTGTTCAAGAAGAACCAGTTCAAACATTTCCATGTAAGACTCAGACTTTCCATGTAACAATCATACAACACAAAAAATAAATATATAAGCAAAATTCTTGGCAATGAATCCCGAATACTCAAGTTAAGCTTTAGAAACGGACCTAATTTTTATGAAGCAAACAATCATCTCTGCAAAGGATATAAATTAATAAATCTAATTACTGAAATTCTTATAACAACAATTAATGAGTATGTAAAAGAAAGAGCGTTCCATGTTCGTGCGTCATAATTTCAAGGAACAAAAGAGTCTCCCTTTCCTTGCAACAAATATTGAAGATCAATGAACTAAGAGCTACTTCTAACTTCTTCTGCTAAGAAAGAAAGCCTTTTCCTCACGTAAGACTTTGGGGTGATCCAGATATATAAACAAAGCTCCAAGAGCGTGGAAAAGAACTTCTAAAACACGAACGTTACCTTCAGTGCATTCGAAAACGTAAGCACACTTCAGGTTACTAACCAAGGAGATTAGGAAAAAAAATGGAGTAAGCCTTCCCCGTATGTCGCCTGCAGTGAAAATGAAGCTATGAAATGTCACGTTATGGTATCACAAGTTATCATGGCTGCTGCCATAAGTGGACTTCTGGTTGTTTTTGCTTACTTTCTGATCGGTGTTATCTACATGTTAGCTATTCACCATTAAAAGTTTATAA